GCCAATTTGATCTTCTACCTCTAGGAGACTGCTGGGAAGATGCAGATTTATTACCAGTACTCACGTACTTGATGGAATGTAAGCACTGCAGGACCCTGGGGTTTCAATCAAGCACTGGTGCAACTGATGCATTTAATAATAGCTCATTTGTTTGTCAATTTGGTTCTTGGGAGGATCCCAACCGAATGGGAGAAGACGATGCACTCATTCTACCAAGAGTATAAGGAAGAGGCTCCAAAGGGTTCCCAAAACATTCTCCCAAACCATTTCACGAGGGGTTTTATTATACCTGGAGTTTTATTATATAGTATACAACAGTATGACAGATCGATATAAGATATATAGCCTATATAGCTGTGTTTGTCCTTTAAACTTAAAACCTTTGAATCCACCGGCAAAGCCCAGCTATGCACTTCCACTGCAGGTGCTTGGGGACAAGAGCTTGACCGATGAGCTCATGGTGTTGCAGAACGAGGGCCGTGAACCCAAACGGGTAAAATGTGAGGTCAAATGTGAGGATTAGTCCCACATGCACTGAAGATTGCAAACATGTGGTCCCTAAAGACTTGGGATGTAATTTGTAACAATTTGCGGGCTTTTGTGGATTTTGGTCTCCACAAAAAGTGGCGCACAACGAGCGCACAAACGTGCAAACGAGCGCACAAACGTGCAAACGGGCACACTCTCAAAAAGTGCTCATTTGGGTTTTTGTCATATGGTGCATTACAGCCCTTAGATGAACCATTTCGTGTTTTTTTGTTGGAATCAGCATGAATCAGCCATCCACTACCACACATGATACATTGTAGAACATTTGGGATCAAATCACTGCTTTGAGTGGCGCTTGGGTATGACAAGCCGGCTTCATAGCGCCAATACTTTGGTTGAGGGAATGAACAAAGTTGGCCATGGGTCTGTTCAAGATCGAAAGCGGGCGCTTGAGGAACAAATAGCAGTTACTTGATTGCATGCCCTTATATTCCCCAGCCTATGGCCTTTAGATCGAAATCTACATATAATGGGCATATGATTCATATGCATGGTTAATCACTTTTTTGCCCCCTTCCTGAGGCGAGTCGTGCACGAGTGGATGCCTTACGACGCAAGAAGAGCAACCAGGCTTCCACCCTCTCTCCAGAAGAGCCACCAAGCGGACACTTGCTAGGGTATTTATGATGGCCATAATATCTTGGGACAAAGACATACAAAAACGACTTACGATAGCATTTTTCAACTGGACCATGGATCCTCAAGAATTAGTTTTAACTACTGCACAATGCCAATCTAAGGAGCACCTCACTGTGGTCAATCTGGGGGCACGTTTTGCGCAGGAAACCCAACAAGGTCAGGAACAGTTGAACAGTTGCCAGACACAGTTCCAGAGCTGCCAGACCGACAGCGCCAGCCTGATACCCAAACCCAGGAGATGGCTTCTGTGGTTCGGCCCCCATGTGATTCCCAAGTTCCAGTGTCTGAAGCATCCCTTGCCCCAACTATTCCCGGAAAGCCAGATACGTTTCATACACCTTCTGAAGCAGTGGTGAACACTATGCACCCATCACCTGAACCAACCGCCCCGCCAGCGCCCTCTCCTGTCCTTGCTTCGGGGCCGTCTGCTGAAGCTGAAGATCGTGGCCTGACGCCGACGATTGCTGAGGAGTCTGAGCCAGGAGATTCTGTGTCGCATGCGGGCCCTCCTTCGAGAGATGGTTACTGGAGGCCCCAATAATTTTTTGTGCATGCATAAATGATTGGGTGAATGTATGAACGATCGATATGTTTCCCTTTTAGCTGACACTTAAATATAACATTGAATCCATGCACATGCATCACATGGGATTTTTGTTTCTGTCCCCAGGCTCTATCGGTACTTCCGTCCAAAAGGTGGAAAGGTGAAGTGTAGCCCTGAAGCTCTGAAGATGTGGGAGACAAAAGATGGACGTGTCATGGCTCACAACTTACAACACACGATGGTCAATTCATGTGAGTTCGTCAAAATAGATTGCCCCATAAATCCATAATTCCAATACTTCTAAGATATGATATAGATCCCTTGCACATCTCAGGTGAGAAGCTCAAGGCCATGTTCCATCAGCATGGTTCCTTCGAGGAGTTAGAGATTCAGGTGAAGAAGCACCACATGAAATCTAGGGAGGATGCGAAGACAGGAGGTTGGTACACCAAACATGCCCTTGAGTTCAAAGAGGGCTGGTCGAAGCAAGGTCCCCAGTTCTGTTTATGTTCTTCATGCATGCATGCCAGGTTACCATCCTATGTGTTTTTAAAATTACCAATTATCCAATTATTTCCCGTACTCATCCCATTGAGGTCCATGATTCAGAAGGCCCTTGATTGGGGTCGCAAGACGAATAACCTTCGGGTAAATCCCATCCATGGCGAAGAAGAGATTCGCATGATCTTGAGTGAGACTTTCTGCCACAAAGAACTCCACCAAGAAGAGACGAACAGGGAAGGGGGCATGGTTGTTCAGGACAGGTTTGCATCCCTTAGAATCCTTTTGAAGTGTTACCCCGCTATACCATATGAACCCATATGTTATCTTATCTATTTTATAAATATGCCATGGGTAATATATGCCAGAAACGTCCAAAAACTATTTCCTCCCTACATCTCCCGCCAGGACGAGTCTGGCAGCATGATGGACTCTGCCTTGCCTGACATCAACGATGCCAATGCAGATTTCCTTTTGCCTCCAGGGGCCACGGCGGGAAGGGAGAGCAGTTCTACCCCTTCTGCACCAAATGCAAGTGGGATTATGTCCTTCAAGCAGGGTTCTCAAGTTGTTTTATCAAGTGCTCAATCACATTATAATGGTGCATTGAAATTGATTTATATTGTTGCGTCTTGATGGGGTTTGATTTGCTAAGGATGTCTTTTCCAACCGTTACGGCGAACTCTTCTCCCATGTCGGTGCTGCCGAACTGGGTTGAAGTGTTGGGGAAAAAACTGGACAAAATATCGGCGGAGCTGGACTGGTATGCACACTGTAGCAGTTCATGCATGCAAACTCACAATAATACAACCATGTTTTTTTTTGATGGGTGTATCTTCAGGAGCGTCTTGGACAAGTTGGATCAGCTGCAAGCCAAAAGTTCATAGCTTAAAATTGCAAAGATCAATCAACAAACACACTTGGGAATTCTGAATTATGCATATCTTTTTTTATCCGCTTAACCAACCCTTTGCATTGAGGCTAGTGCCGCAAATGGAATCTGTCTTTTCCAAGATGCAATCAGAGTATGATTCCCTGACCAACTTGCTGTCGGAAGCTACGGTGAACCCTGAGAATATGGATAAGTTCTTGGGATGCAATTCAGAAATTGTAGCTTGACCAATTTGGCCATTAAAAACAATTAGGGCCCCAGCTGTTTGTTCTCGCCCAGGCACCAGAAAGCGAAGATCCAGGAGCATTTCGTGGTATGCACCAAACTGGATGTTTCGATGAATTCCCTCTTGCTGCGATCCAAGTAACTTGACTTAATGGATTGTTTATGGTATAAACATTCGTAATTTTTATAATACATTACAATGTTTCATGCACATCGATAGGTGTGACTTTTACCCAGATTTTCTGGTCTATGCATTGAGTAACTTCCTGAAACATGCTCCGGATGCTGCGCCTGTGCCTGTGTCCAAGGCCCATGAAGGCGTCCTCGGTTGCGCCGAGCAAGTCTCCGGGGGGTGCTGTTTCAAAGCCAAAGGCAAAGGCCAAAAGGTCTGCCACTAAGAAGAAGAAATCGCCGAAGGCTGATGCCTAGATACCAAATCTTTTGCAAGGTTGCACATGGCGACCATGCTTTTGCACATGGCGTGTGTTAATTCGACACACCCAGTATGATATCCTATGATACAAGTATGGGGTTCGCAGCTGTACATGCCCTTTGGTTGGAACAGGTTGGAATCTCTGAGATAGTAATGTTTAAAAACATCATCAATATTATATAATATATTATATGTTTCCTTGTGTTTCCCTTCTTTGGGGCTGTGCACTGCAGGGTCTAGTTGCAGCACCGATCGAGCATCTCGCACAAAAGAATCAAAAGAACGGAGAAGTACCCTGTACCGGTTGGAATTTATCCGTTTCCCTATTACTATAAACACCACCCTATGGGACCCCAAAGTTAATACACTCGTGGGGGTGTGTTTAGAATTGATGTGATTACCCCATTTATGTTGGGAAAGATCCATGGGTATACTTTGTCACCCACTGCTTTGCCAGGTTTTGGCGATGATGTGGGCCGTAGATGTACCTAGTCTGCATTGATACCCCAACAAGCTTCCTGGAAAAAAAATATCACTGATTCCCCATCTGGGTAATTCACCCCAAAAAACCACCCGATGCTTTACATGTGTTGGCCGGCACTTCAAGAATTTGGACCTACATCATCTCCCAACGAACATAGCCCCTGCCATAAGCTGGGGCAGTAATGAAATTCTTTATATCTTAATTCATACCCATTCTCAAAGGTCTATGTTAATTGGTATATGTTAGTTGCCTGCACCCTTATGAACTTGGGGTAAGGTACTGGCTACAGCAGCTCTGATGATGAAGCAGTCGATGGTTTGGTGGACAACTTCGCCCGAGGAGTGACTTGCCAGCAGTAACAGTGTGTATTGCCAACACCTTATTTTATATATTATATATAACAGTATGTGATGTTAGAAGGTACTCTATATGCTCCTATGATGGTCTCGGGGGTTCAGCTTCTATCCATCCCAAATTTCTCATTCATTACTCAAAGCCCAGGCATCAGCCAAAGAAGTATTCTTGCAAGCTGACAGAACCGAACGACTTTTGAAAAAGCACGGACGCTTGAATGATCAATTAGCATTGCATTTTTGTTTGGTGATTACATTTTCAAAAACACACATTCTTTAGACCCACATAGACACACCAAAACCTAGGAGTATATGACGAGAAGGTTGCTGAATTTGGCAGCTGCCATAGGTCAAAGAAATCTCGCAACTTTAGTCGTGCTATGCATAGAATGATCCACCGGAAGGACAAAACTTTACCTGTACGCCTGAGTTCTGTGGATGTGAAGGTTAAGGTTCCACGCCGTCGGAAACTGCTCGTCAAGCCTTGGCCAGTTCTCTATATGACAGATTGGGCGAGGCTGTGCTTTGAGAATAGCAAATACAATGGGTTTTTTTTCCTGGGTGGGAACACCTTGGATACCTGGGATGATGCCCAAGCTATGCTCCAAACTTTCTGGGGTCGATACAAAAACATTGATCCTAGTCTTGTGCCAGAGCATCCCTCTCAAACTGTTCCGTTCTACATCCATGGAGATGAAGGAAGGGGGCTGGGCAAAAGACCTTTGTTGGTGATCAGCTTTCAGCCAACTATGTCATGGACTGGTGGACAGAAAATCCCGTCTACCAAGTACCTCTACTCATACAAGTGGCTATTTGTTGCCATGCTGGGATTAGAACCAATCCCCAAGTGACCTGCTACAAATAACCTTCAGATCCTTTGCCCCTGCACATCTGAGGCATACCTACACCAGCCGATTAGTGTACACGGTGGTGCCATCTGAATGCTATGCCCCTGGCGGTGCAACCGTTGACGGTCTGCTTGAAGCTCTGGTGTCTGACCTCGTTCGATTGGAAACTGAGGGTCTTGAGGCAGGGTGTGAAAAACAATGCAGTAAAATATGTTTTGGGGTTTGATCCTTATTCAATTTATTATATGATCAAAACCAGAAAAAATAATATTAACCAAATATTATCAAGGATCCCTTAAGTCTTTGTGAGCCCTTACAAAGCCGAGTCATTTTTTGGGAATTCCAACATGTTGGGGTGGTTCAATTCAAAACAATATCCGGAATTCAAATGGGATAGGATTGTATGGATTCCATTAGTTTTGGTGGGTCAATGCTTCATGAATAGCAATGTTACTTGGGTTGTCATCTCTCAGAAATTTTTATATCCCTCAAACAATATTTGATCAATACCAGGTGAAGAAGGGAGACAAGAATTTTCGCGTCTACTTCAAGTACTTGGGGAGCAAGGGTGATTGGCCATGGTTGCGAGCTGCTCACAAACTTGCGACAGGTTATCAGTGCACCCGAATTTGTCACTTATGTGATGCTGTTGAAATTTGGTATCCAAAGTTTGCATTTTTTTTTGCCAACCACTGGGTTTCAAAATGTTTCAAATGACCAATGAACCATAGGGTCTTGAGGTGTGTTTCTATGTCATCCCCTGCCCCTCTAAGGACTGGCATGCTCTTGGACCTACCGGGCCCATACGATCCTTGCGTCCAAACTATGTCCCCCCTGATCCATTCAAATGTGGACGCAAATCTCCTTCGCAAGATTTGCAGGGGGGTGCCAATCCAAAGTCTATCAAGATAGACATAGCACACACCTACGCGATAGCAGGTTATGGGAAGGATGATTTGGCATCCTGCCTAGTTTTCCTCGCAGTAAGATGTGAGATCTGGGGGCCTGGAAGATATGAGGATCAACTAGAACGTGCTTGGGTGAGTTTCAAAGCGTGGTGCGTAGCAAACAAAAAATCTACGACCATCCTGGAATTCAGCAAAAAAGAACTGAAAATAACCTCGCAGCTAGGTCAATGTCTTAGCATTTTTCTCCGTAGTCAGGGTTGTATCCCACGTCCCCAAAGAGATGAACCCCATTTGAGACCATTGTGTTAAGTTTGCCTTTCTTGAAATTGCTGAGGCTGCAAGACTTTCCCAGAGGTCTTGGAAAAGGATCCGACACAGCAGTGGTGGGAGCTTGGTTGGAGAGTGTCCTATCACATGTGGATTTAGGCCAGGTTGATGTGCCTAGTCCATACAAATTTGTTTGAGTAGTTTTCTATTTTACTATTTTACTGTATGTATAAGATCAGTTTTATTTGGTGAAAAATCTCGCACTTACTGCAACAACAAAAACATGGTTTGCTGTGCAAGGAGCACTTGCGTGACATGGTTCGAGTGATCAAATGGGGCAACAAAGCTACCAATGACTACTTTCGTGCAGTGTACAAGCCTGGCAACAATCTTTGGCTCCACCGAACTCAAGCAGTCAAAACGGTTGAAGATGGTTGGGCTATGACAGACCCTTGTCAATTTGTACTTGGTTTCATTTGGTTTCCCAGCGCGCGTGCTACCAACCATTCTTTTTAAGAAAAGGGCCAACTAACTACTTAATTGATCACTTTTTCTACGCGGGCTGCCTCTCAGGAAGCTTTTGGGGCATCAGCGAGAATGGCAAAAAGGCTTGGCTACAGTCTCTGGTACATGCGTACAAAGATACACATGATGCAGCATGTTGTGTTTCCAAGCTGCACCTATCTTGTCCTTTGCCACAGACCCATTGTAAAAAGTCCAGCAAACCTAGCTCAGGCTACAGTCCCAACACGAGCTGGCCAATCCCGACGCTGAGTGGATCTTCAATCCACACAGTCTGGAACTTAACTTGCGCAGTTAGAGAGGCGATATGTGCTGCATGGTATGCACTTCCTGTGAGGCACATCGTGCTGGGCCGACGAGGACATGATAGGACGAGTTAGCCGCACTTCCCGACATTGCTTGCACTCAGCTAGATTGTGTTACCGAACTCTGTCCCGCGTTCTACTTGGGTACAGAAGAGAATGGGACAGGGTGTGCCAAGTTCGAGTTTAGCTGATCCCAAATCCCTGAGATCCTGGCAAAAGGATTCGAGGAAGGCAATGGAAAACACGATGTGCAAGCAGCTGTTGGCTGTGGGGGACGGTGGTATCCAGTTGGGAGATAACAACACAAAATACATGATAATTTAATCGCATAACTAAGGCATAACTGGGGTATAGTGTTACTTATGTGGGGTCCCAAATGCCTCGAGCAAAAAAAACATAAACGAGCAAAAAAAACATATTCGAGCACCACAACACCTCGAGCACAAAACAGTGCTCAAAGGATGCTCCAGGTATATATATAGCCACTTCACGGCGCTTGGCATGACGTACTGCAAAGAACCCTGGCGCTCGCAAGCTCCTCAAGCGCTTTGCCAAGCATCTTGTGTCGGTTGATCGCATTATAGAAGAAAAAATCCTTCACCTGCAATTGCGCAACAAATCGCCGTGGCCAGTGTGGGGAAAGCCACACGGCCCAAGTTCCTGCAGATATGGGAAGCTTAGTGTGCTACCAACTTTAGTAAACTTTAGCACGACAAATCATCGAAGTAAATAGGCAATGTATGGCAATGTTGCATAGCAAACTGATAAATACTAGAGGGCCAGTTTGGAGATGGGGAACGTTGCACTTCCACCCTTTTTGATCCCGCAGCTGTTCTAGAGTTTGGCAACTTAATTGCTAGCATCATGGTTCTTATAGAAACCACCCACAAAAGGATAGGAAAGTACAGTATTTCCGTCGGATTTGTTCTTTTCTATCCTTTTTGGGGCTTACCCTCTGGCAATACGAATTTCAGGTAAAAACATCATCATGGCCATGTTCCATATGTTAAATAACCAAAGAGTTACCCTCTGGTAAACTTAAACTGCCACATAACTATATGGAAAATCACCATTTTTTATGGGAAAACCCACTATTAATGGCCATTTTCAATAGCAATTTTGACATAACCAGAGGGTATCTAATGTCCATCACCCGTGTGCACCACGGGAATCCACGTTTTCCGCGCCTTCTGCGCCACCTTTTCATCAAAGGTCTTGGGCTGGACCTTCACCCGGATGGAGGGTGTGATCGCCTTATCGTTGTCCTCCACGACATCCGAACCACGTTTTTTTGGCGGTTCAGAAACATAAAAACAACGAAGAATGGGGGGGTTATAACTCCAATAACTATGGTTTATGATACGCAAATAACTATAGTATTCATATAATATATTCATGGGGGTTATAAACCATCTCATAACTGTTTAACTGGGGGGGCCACATTGTGACATTTAATGTCAAGCCTTGATTAATAAACCCCAAACGACTATGTCTTTGGGAGGGTACAATTTAAGTATTATGACTATTGGAGGAGTACCCCCCTAATTCATAAACCATTGTTTAATCCCGGGTTGACATTACCCTCTGGTAATTTAACATAGCTATGGAAAAACACCATTTATTGTAGGTAAACCAACTATAAATGGCAATTTTCCATAGCTATGTTCGTTAGTCTCCAAAAACAATGCATTTTAAAACCTCACATGACTCCAACGTCCGGGCTCTCACGGGTTGAACATGGTTGAAGCGCAACGGAGCTTTGGATGGCCAAAAAACCCTCCCGGCTCTCCTGGGGACCCGTCCATTCGGCGGTCTTGTGGGACCAGAGCTGCCGCAACTTCAGAAAGGTGGAGAGCGGTCCACACTTCTCTACCTCCGATGTTGACCCAAGCCCTGGTTTTGTTATAGATCCAGGAGATCCAAGAAGTTATGATATAATACGAGCAACATGAATAATATCGGGTAGAGTCATTTGAGAGTCTTTAAGGATATATAATCATGAAGAATGAAGTATCATGAACATGATTGCTATTTTTTAATAGTTTTTTGCCATTGTCCATGACAGTGAGCTTCCTATCCCGTTCATGAATCAACCACAGTCGCCGTGTCACACACCCCGTCGTTTGAACACCCCCTGAACCATCCTGTGGCATGAGGATCTTATGCCCTGGTTTGCTGTTTCAACATGTTTCAACCGCATCCATCCTCGAAGAATTGTGCCTGCAAAGGGCCAAAAGGTCAACTGATTTCAAATAGGAGGTTTAATAGAAATAACACTAGGAAACATAAGAAAACCACCAATTGCCAACATCCACCAACGAAAGAAACGATGTGTTCTCCATCTGCTCTGCCCATTTTTTCCATCCATACTCTGCGCCCCCCAGAAAACCTTCCGCAAGTGCCCCAGATCGCCGAGCTCATCCTTAGCCCGGGTCGACAGGGCCTTCCAGTTGATTCAAAACGTCCAGTCCTAGGGCACTGTTATGTTTTGTTTCTAGCCATGGCTAATGTAAACAAACTTGAAGCATGTTTTTCATTGTTTTTCCATATTGGGTCCTTGCTGCATCTTGGCGGTAGGTGGGCCAACTGGAAATGGCATGACAACTGCAGCTGAGAAACGTATGACATACCCATGTCTTTCTCATCACTTTGTTCCTCCACCTTCTTACCACCTTCCACCTGCCACTGGGATGATGATAGGTGAGATTAGATGAGTCCCGAAGGAAGGACTAGGATGATGGCTGATGAAGAAAACGAACAATCAAACATGCAACTCATAACTCTATAGTCTATATGTGTGAATTCCTCGGAACTATTCATGCTTGATGTTTGGGTTTGAGCACGTCCAAAATGAAGGAACATCAGCCAAAATGTCATTCCGACAGGGGAGCAGCGCAACGGAACCCATGGTTTTTTTCCTCCCACGGCAGCGATGCGTCAGCGACGCGACTCACCGACGCTGATCCATCTCTTCCGAGCGAATCCGTTGGATGTAGCGAAAAGCTGGAGTCACCTCCTCCTCCTGGATGGCAACTGGCAACTTAGAGCCCTCCAGTAAACTAACATAGCATAACATAGCTATATGGAAAATGATCATAGATGATGTACAGTAGCTATCAACAATTCTGATGTTCCATAGTTATGTCAGTTTACCAAGGGTAGTCAATTGCGGTACTTTAACGGGGTCAGAATCCCCTAACCCTTCGCCCAAACCTTCCCACCTTTCAAAGCACCAAAGTGGCATCCAAGTCACAGGTGATCTCAAAAAACTATTTGACTATAGAATTCCATCGGTATCACAGCTTCAACCCTAGTTAACCCATCTCCCTTCCCGGGAATCAAACCCGGAACTGGAAAATCACGGTCAAATCATGGAATTTTGTCAAAACATCCACCCACAACCACCGCTATCCCCAGAAGGCGCTGCTGTATGTTTTTTGTCCAACAAACATCACTGGGAGGCATACCACCTTCAACCCAACCCCGCAACCCTCATCATCCGCACAATGTGCCCCCCAGTTATAAGTTGGTTTAGATTCGCCCCAGGAACTATAGTTATAAGATGTTGTAAGTACCATAAACCATAGTTATTGGAGTTATGTGAACCCCAACTGAACGCTATCTAACGGGGGCCTCACATTGCAGTCTCCTTGCCCCGGTTCTGATCCGGATGCAGCCGCCGCACCAGGCGCCGCAGGACCTGCCTCCGCGCCGATGAGGAGCTCCCGGCCTCGGCCAGCTCCCGCTGCACCGTCTCCAAGATCTTGGCCGCGGGGCTGCCAGGGGGGGCGTCCTGCCAGGGGATGGTCGAGTGATCTTTTTCTACAAAAGACACCAGATATTTTAAGGAAATGTGACATGTAGTTGGGTTGGACTTCGAAGTCAACTGAAGCCACTATCAAAGAAATAAACAAGAACTCCTTGATTGATAGGTGATGCTGGCATTTCATCATTCTGGGATTAAGTAGTGCCAAAGGCGTTAACGTATGTTTAAAGCAGGTCCTCCACGTATTGCTTCTCTGGAGGAACATAGAAAGAGCCATAGAAATCGCGCTGTGTCTCTCCACGTGGGCCCCGATAGATTCGAGGGTCCGGTGGCATCTCGAAACCTTGGAGATTGGGGAGGGAAATCGCTTGGTGGCTTCCAACATCTTCCAACAACATGTGTTAACATGGGATCATCCCAGCAATCACAGGGAGGATGGAAAGTCACCAGGGTTCATCTTGGTCAGGCTGGGATTCATCCTCACCAGCTTTGGGGTTGTAATTTGCCACGGGCAACCAGTTTAAGTGTCGAATTTTCAAACAAATAGAGGACCCCTACTTGGACGATATGCCCATTTACATGAAGCAAGATACTACTGGGGTTATAACCCATTTAGACATTGGGACAAACCCAGGTAAGGATGGTAAGGGACCTACTACATAGCCAGGATGATCAACCAAGAAAAAAAAAACGTAGACGTGCCCTCACTCCGCTTCAAGCTGGATCTCCCACCCGTTGCAACGAAAAGAAACCACCAGGCACGAAAAGTCTTGCAGCTGACGATAGGAACTCCGAGGAGCGTTTCAGAGAGTTCCTTTGGATTTTGGGCGTGGTGCTGAATGTCCGGAGCATTGCCTGCCTATAATTTGACAGCTTTAACCACAGTCCAAATAGAAGCACGGGATGTTCAACAGATTTAAGAATGACATCAACAAATTTCATGGTGAAACATGGTGAAACTGAACCACTGGGGTGTCAACAGGTGACCTGGCACTGCTCGGCACCCATGACCCATGACCCAATATCATCCAATATCCCTGTGAAATGCGGGAAAGAACCCCAGGTCATTAAAACAGAACCATATAGTTGGCACGTAAAATTCAAAAACAATTGTCAAGTTGAAGGTGAAACATCATTGAACAACCATTTGTTCATAAGACTCACCTTTATATGAGGGATTCCTAAAATAGGGGTACCCATGGGTACCCTTAATTTTCATCCATTTATAGATGGGATTTTCCATTATAAACCATCCAGCTATGGGTGTGCCACCATTCCAGGACACCCCGTATCTGTCCAAGCTGCACTACTTCACCCCCGCTCAGCCGGCTCAGCTTCTCCGCCACGTCAGCCAAGTTTTTGGACAAACGTCCTGGGCCAATGCTGGTTGGATCTGGCTGCTAGCCACCACCTCCACCACCTCGAAAGTTCTCCGTGAAAGTCAGGATCATCATCCCATATAGTGTCCCATAGGATCCATGGTGCTGCCATATATGGTAACATTTACCATCAATATACCCCAAATGTTAGCATATATACCATACATGGATCCTATGGGTGTGGACAATTTGTTGAAAATAACCATCTTTGAAACTACCAACCAGGAAAAACATGATGAATACAATATAGGACAGCAAGAACCATTCAAATAATTGGCGGTGATAAACATTGATATTTGATAATGCTATACCTAAAAACAAAGTCCACAAATATGTTTGCTACACCTATAGATACAACACCCCTACATATGACCCTGAAGTAAGCCATTCCAATCATATCATTCAGTACTAAACCCAGGTTTCACGGGGGTGTTCAAGGAGAAGTTGTTGACAACAGAGGTTTCCCCTTTGCCTGGCCACAAATCCACTATTGAACATCGTGATGCAGTGATGCAGTTCAAAATGCTGCCCAATATATGATCATCTGCCGATGCTTACTTGAATCACATCCCCCCAATGTTAAACACCCCCATTGCTTAATTCTAGTTGGTTATTATAAACCCTATTCATATCCCATGAATGATCCTAATGCTTAATTTTCTGGTAAGTTCACACTTTGCGATCTGGCCATGGCCGACCATTTCCTTCGTTGATTTGCCTATTTGATTTCGCAACACAAATGTCGAATCATGATGATTTTCCTATTTGTCCTATGATTTTCCTATGGTTTCATGGTGAAAACTTCCACCCCATTTCGCTTTTTGAAATCCCAGGCGCTGAGTGAAGACTTAGCTCTTTGCCACTCACAACTTGGCATGGCTTCCTCGTAGGCAAAAAGGTCCTGAGCTTTGCAGCTGTGCACGAACGAACTGAACGAACCAATGGATCGCCTCGAACTAACCACGGTGAATTCGCTGGTTTATGGTGGAAATATGTGTCTGGTTGGTGGTTGACCTACCCCGAAAAATATGAAAGTCAGTTGGGATTGTTCTTCCCAATATCTGGAAAAATAAAACATGTTCCAAACCACCAACCAGGGGTGGATATATGTGGATATATGAACTACTATGGTTGATAATGTCTAGAAACCAACTAGCATCACGGGCACCTTCAAAATGGACGGATGTTTCCCGTGTTTGAACTCTCAAATTACCCAAATTGGCAACCAACATGCGAATCAAAAGGGCACATACCCTGCACACCTTAAGCTTATTCCTTTACTGGTTGTGATAAATGGAAGGCGGCCCATCTACCCTCTGGTAATTTAACATAGCTATTGAAAATGGTCATTTATACTGGATTTACCTATTGAAAATGGTGATTTTCCATAGTTATGTTAGTTTACCAGAGGGTAATAACCAAGCAATCAGTTGGAACAAGTCATCAATGGCTTCAAAACGTCAGGGCCAGACGCTGGAAATCTACTGAAGTGCTTGATGTGATTTAATGGGGGAAAACTGGGAAAACCAATAATTAAGGGAACTATATATTACAGTACAGTGATGAGATTTTCATAGCAACATATGGGGAAACTATGGTGATAATCATAAAAACATATAATAACACCATCCCCGGTGGGCTTCATGATTGCCCATACCCCATTTCGGATTGTACCAAACAACAGGTGAAACGTTACACAATGACCCACACATGGCTGGTGGGTTGATGATGTTGATGAAAAAAATAGAGGCCACAATGGGGCACCAAACTCAGCCGAGAAACGATTAAGCCTTGCATGGATGCGGGCGGCAAGAAACCTTCGCTGGAAACCGCCGCCACCTGCAGGGGGATGGCCTGGTTGCCTGGTTCTCTGCGGTTCAACCTGCAGTTCTCTGGATATCCCTGGCTTAGCAGCTTAGCAAATTACCAAAAGGAGTGTCAAAGAGGCGTTAAACGCGCAGTGGCTCGGTTATTGCTCATTCAAAGAATGATCACAGCTCCAAGTTTCACCACGTTTCACCAAAACTGCCCAGCCTGTTAGTAGACTCAGGGTCTATTAGCCCTGAGTTAACATTAATTGGCTAGTTGCTTTGCTTATGTTTCTGAAAAGGCTACACATAAATTTGCCAAAAAAACCTCAGGAGCCAACCCAACTCCCTACAACTCACACCCTCCGAACCAACCCAAAACAAATCTTCAATCGAACTTAAAAAACTGGTAAGCTATGGACAATTGCTCCATTTACTTCAATGATTTCCATCTTTAAAATGATTCCCAGAAGCTCACAAAATATATGTCCAACCCCTAAAAGCTATTTGAATTATCAAATTTCTATGGCTGAAAATTTATCCACGTTTGAAGCCCGAAAAATCGGGGGATCATCCCACTTAGCAAGTGGCACCCCACAAACACCCAGCCCACTTATGGATGATCCATGATGATCCTCCAAGTCCAACTATCCCCAACCTCCACTTCGCCCATGGCACTCTCCCAATCCTCATCCAGCATCATATCTGCCGCATTTCGCAAGGCCAGCGCCGCAGCTCCTAGGCCCTGCGGGGAGAACTTCCGCACGTCGAGGGCGGAGAGGGGAGCTGCGGCCAAGAGGGCGCTTACTTCCAGCAGTTCCTCCGGGGATGGGGTGGATTTTTGTCATGATGTCATTGATATATTTCATCCAAAAATGATGGTGATTGGATGGTGGCTGGATGGTGATGCAATGATAATTCAATACTGGTTTCATGGTGATTGCATAGTGAATAGTAATTAAAGGCTTGATTTAAAGGCAATATGAAGGTGATTTAATTGTGACTTTATGGCGGTTTGATGATTCAATGGGATATGATAGAATATGATACAATGGTGATTGATGCCAGTGATTATTTTGAATGCCCAGTCAAGACACGTGGTGTATCCATTGGTGGGTTCTATGTAGATCGTTTAAAGCAGTTCGCTAACAGACTCTTCGCTAACGGCGTAGCAGATCGTTTGAACGGCTTTCCTAGGTATAGTGTTGAAAATAATTGTGCGGGAGACGGAAAATGTCGATGTCAGGTTGTCGCGCTGAGGCCGATCGGACGAATGGTTCATCAGTAGGAAGTGGGAGGCTCAATTTCTGCACTGAAACGTTGGAGGATCCAAATCGCTCACGGATAAAGAGGGGACCAAGAAAACCAGCAATCACCGGTTGGTTTGCCCGCTTCTATTGGCTACATCCCCCGTAAATGTCGTAGTCAGTCAATCCCCATTCTTATTGGTAAACCCACCAAAAATCTCTAAGATTGTTGGTTATCATCTCATTCGTGGTTGGCTAAATACATTTGCCAATCTTAGATGCCCTGCAAAAAATAATTTCTTTGCTGGTTAGTAGATATTCCCATTGATATCAAAAGACTAAAGGATTAAAGTATCCATCTAAGATTGACCTAGAATATTTCAAAAAAACAACTGAAATAATCTTGGTTTTCCAGCTGCCCAGCACCACACATGCAGATTCCCAATTGACAACACGTGCTGGTTCATATAATTGATACTTCATGCTGTTCCTTTCTAGACCCCTTAAATATGCTCAAATGTTCATCGTCATTTTTTCTGGGTGAAATTGTCCACATATCTGGGTATATTGTAATATTTTGATTTCTGCCCGTTTGGGGATGATTTCCCTTATTAACCATGATTCCAGTGAGGGAAGACAGTGAGGTCGTGAGAATTCACCCAGACATATGTTCAAACCATTTGCTCAGCGCAAGGTACATCTGCTGCAGCCCAAAGATTTCGGCCCAAAGCCACAAGCAGATCCTCGCTCTCTTCGGTCGAAAGCTCGCCTGCACTGAACAAATCCAGTGCCAAGTGGTGGCCCAGTTTGTTGACAAGGTTGTAAACTGGATCCATTATGATCCATTCAAATTTAAAAAAGGTTAGTGGATGAAATTGTTAAATGGAAAAAATATCTCTATCGTACTATCTCTATATGTCTATATATCTATCTCTATCTACACTTCTTACGCACGTATACTTGAATTTGATGGGATTGCAAGTATATAAACCACTCAGAGCTGGGGGGTACGCCACTTTGTTCAAGATCTATGTCTTGATGATTCTGCTCTCTGCTGGCATTCAAATTGAGAGTCGGTTCACGTTGATTCCCGAAACTGCCTGAGTTTTGGCTCAGCAAACTTTCAGAAATCACCCCAACTCTGGGGCAAATTCAGATACAACAAAGAGGCCATTTGTAAAATCAAAGGACAAGTCAAAGTTCACCTTCTTCAACTGCCACCAACGTTGCCTTCAGCGATCCTGCAGCCCATCCGCGGACTCCATTGACAGCGAAGTTCCAAACCACAGAAGCTGGCGGCCCAGAGGCTGCCCCATGCGACCCACGCGGCCAGAAGATTGCGCCATGGCGCCGCGCTGGGCGTGGTGGGCGTGGCGCAGGCAACGGCCATGCTGTGGCGGTCTGGATGGATGTGAAGATATGTGAAGGTTAACCTGTAAACTTCGAGGTGATAAAGACATATATGTGGGATGAAGACAAATTCCCACGGAACGGTTTGCCATGGATGTCTATATCTATGTAGATCTGCACCATTATGCGGCCAATGGGTTGCTTCTGAATAACCAAAGGGTTGTTTTAGGAGCAATCTGACTGGAGCACTTATGGGCACGTAGGAATAGAAACAGAATGTAGCCTCAGAATGCGTTGGGACCCAAAGATGTCGCTGATTCTCTAGTTTGAAAATGAATGATCTGCCGCGATGTTTAGAGCCCACTCTTTGGATTCACACTGGGTCAGTGCTTCAAACTTGCACTGGCTTGAAAAGCTATGGGCAAGTCTGATTGGATGTGCCCTCCAGCAATTGAAATCTCCAAGTTCATCCATCTTCAAAGGAGGAATCTCATCCATTGAATGATGTTTCTTGTGCCATTGACCTGTTAGATTGCCAACGGGCGCATGTGTGCCCACATCAACCATGCAGGACATTACTGAAATTGCGGCACAGTCGACTCTGCCACCCTTTGTATAAGGCAATTGGAGTTTTCATGACTTCATGCTGCATCACATGGTCTCTGATTTCAGAAGCTGCGGGAGACCATGTAATCACCCCCCGATTTTTTACAGAACTATGGAAAATCTACGGGAAACCTTGGCTTGTTGCATTCAATCATGGCGGGTTCCAGTTTAGATTTGTTCCTTGAATCACATCTAGAAGACTGGTATCTGCATAGGTTTATGTGGAGGGAATCTATTGTTGAACATCCCCCGCCCCTTGTATAAAACCTTCAGTTATATCTCTGGACGATACAGGGCCCAACGTCATGATTCAATGATGTATCACTCGAGTCCTTGGCAGTGAGCCAAAACACATAAATTATACCCTCTGGTAAATTAACATACCCTGGCAGATAGGGGTTGGAAGACTAGTTTCCATTAAAAATTGGTGATCTTCATTGATTTTCAGGGTCTATGTTTATGTACCAGAGGGTAGAAGAAACCAACCTTTCAACTTTGGTATGACCCACTTCTGGAGAAAGGTTGAACTGATAGTCATGCCCAAAAAGGTACAAACAAATCATGATCCCGATGAAAAACGCTTCATTGCACCTTATCTGGTCGCAGCTCTGCGGTGGGGACTGCGTTGGCCACCCGTTCCAGTTCACCTAGATGGCCATGAAATGCTTCAGTTCTTGGATAGTTCTTGTCAAATTCGATTTGCGTCTGGGGTGTTGCTAGCTATTCCATAGTTCGAGTGTTCGACATCACGGTTCTGTGGAACCCCAATGATTTTGGAGATCCACAGAAGCGCCTTTTCAACAAGTCGCATGGCGAGTACCCCAGAAACCAAACAACTGATTTACAATCAGTTGTATATGTTAAAGTTACACCATCAACATCACAGCCGGTGAAGGGACCCTGTTATGGAATGTTATGGAAATTAACTAGCAGTAATCATCAAGGCATTCGCAACTTCCCCGCTGAGATGGTTTCGAAGCAGGGATCCAAACAAGAATGCCAAAGGTTGGTTCAGGAACGTTACACAATGTTACAAGTCATGATTTACCTGTGAGTAATAAAATTGGCATAACTGCCTGAAGCATGTCCGCATATATTGCCCATGTGCCAACCAAATAAATCTTGAACAGCTGACAAGTTGATGGAGCGCAGCTCACCGTGGAGGTTTACCTCTAGCGGGATCCAACTATGGCACACCAACACGTTCTGACCGTGCACAAAATCATTCCTCCAATCCAGAGCGCGTTCTCCAGCAGCCAAAGTGACCAATACCTCTTTCTTTGGCCGCCCATATTAAGAACGCCTTCAAGTCTCTTTTGTTGATACCTCGGCTGGAGCAAGCAAGAAACACGCTGCCTTGCATGCTGCAGTGACACAAATGCCTCTAGGGGAACGCTGACTGCGGCTTCTGACCATGTGATTGAAGGGCACGTTTCACCATTTGTTTATCATTTCCAGACAATAAATGCAAATCAACACATCATCTGTAGTTGAAAGATGCTACTGTAAATATCTGTAAATTGTGGTTGGACACTTCACTATTGGCTGTTTCTTTCATGACAAGGATGATCATGCTAAGGTTTCTCCTGGGTTTCAAACATTTTCAAACCACCAACCCCACCAGGAACCTCCCGTCATCATGGTCATCCCAGTTTGCGTCACCTTTGATGGGATTGCTCCTGCTCTTAAAAATGCTAATTTCGCATGGATATGCATGGATTGTAACAATGTGGACCAATCGGCTAGGCACATCACACATACATCATATATATATATAGAGAGAGAGAGAAAGAGAGAGTTAAAATAATAACAATAATAACAACAATAATAATAACAACAATTAATAATAATTAATAATAATTAATAATAATAAAAATAATGAAAATAATAAAAATAATGAAAATAATAATAATAACAACAATCAATAATAATAATAATTAAATATACATCATATACGTCATATACATCATATATAAGTACACTCTTTCAGTGGGACATCTTGGCAGATCATCCCAGTATTCCATGGTCTGCCCTGGTTTTTCACCACCATCCCACGACATCCCAGGACGTGGTTTTCCCGGAGGCACCACCAATGGGGTTCACATCTGCAGCGCTGCAGTCATACTTCGTGTAGTAGCCACGTAAGGCTTCATCCACATTGGCCGAGCCTGAGGGATCGACATGGATCGACCACTACTGAAGCTATTCATCCCGATGGGGACAATGGGAGGTAGCTTCGATGTAGTGACTCACCGTTTTTGCTGTAAGTGATGTTCCGCGAAGCTCCTTATAAGAGCTAGTGACATACTGATATATACTGCATGTTCAGAAGGTGAAATCAGTTGTATATAGACTCCTCGATATTCTCTGCCTTGATTTTGGTTTGCATTGATTTTGATTTGACATCACACCTCCGACCAGAAAGGAGGAACACAGTTCTCCTGTTTGAAATGGATTGACAGCTTCCGGCTAATAACAAAAATAGAAAACACATGCTTTGAAACCACCTACGAGCAGGGAAATCCAAGTGCGATTTCCCAACGATTGAGCCTTTGGCATCCTGGAGGGTCTTTTGACCATGAAATCTGACATGTGAAGCACTGTGAGAAACATTCAAAACCTCTAATCCCTTTGTTTCATGATTCCACTTTGCACTGGTTTTTTTTTGTACCTCTTCCAGCCTTATTGAAACTAACCTTGTAGACCCATTTTCAAAGATGATTATAGTTTTTTATCCTTTGGCTGAGAAGTCCAATTCTCGCCCAAAACGAATCTTGTGTAATTACTGCAAACCAAAGCCTTGACCAGCAATCCCATGAATATGTAACACCATGACCTAATAGTTCTACCCCGTTACATGATATGTTGGTTAACCTTTTTGCACCACATTCACCCAACCAAATCTACATGATACCCTCCTGCAAACGGAGAAATATAGATCTGAAAAGACCGACCATGAATCGAATGTAAATCATGTTCGGAATGGCTTTCCCAATGGGTTAAGTCCATGGATTGGTCAATTTTTTTGTAAAAAAATCTGTTTTCTTAGCACCGACATGAACTTATCCTCATGGACTCTCCACTGCCACATGGACAGCTCCGTAAAATCGCGCCTAGAACCAGAAGAGAGCCCCATCCCGGCCCGGCGTCGCCCTGCATGGCCTGACCGAGGATGGTCTGAAAATTTCCGGGACTCCCCGGGGGTTAACACAGACAAATGGAGGGTTTAATGGGAAAAAAAAAATGGGAAAATACGGAAAAATATGGGGAACGCATGTAGAAAAACCATGGTTTTCCTTAGCAAAATGATCTAAACATAATTATATAGTGGATTCTATGTATATAAACGTTTACGGGAGGGTATGCCCCCGTAGATTAGCATTGGTCAATACCCTCTGGCTATCTAACATAACAACACAGCTATACAACAAATGTTTAACAGGAAAAATAGTTAATCTACAATCTACATAGTACATACCTATGTTGCCGGAGGGTATCAATTTGGTAGAGTACGAGAACAGTGGATTCAGCAAATACATGGCTTTCCTGTAGATTTTCCTGCCGATTCCGGAAAGACGGGTGTCGAACTCAGCATTGAAACATATAATTGAATTGGTCAATCCATCTTTTTTTAGATCATTTGCAATGCTTGTTTGGAGGGGAGAACTAGTGAATAGAGGGCCCAAATAATGGTTTAGATTGGCAGCGTACATCGCATCAGTCTGGGTGACCTTACCTGGTCAGTAGCCCATGGCATCAGTTGCGCCATGAAATAGGCCATGACCATGCCTTGGTGCTGGTGATAGAAGGGTCCCATCTTTGACACATGACAGCGGTGATGTTTTTGGGCATAGCTCAAAACATGAGGCACAACATTGGGACCACACAGTGGTGATGTTGAGCACTTAAAGCCATCCAAAGTTAGGTAATTACAGGTAATAGATAGTGTGAGCCAGATTCAAAACTTACCCCACAATATTCCGAATTGGAAACCCAGCTTTGTGTGTATTTATTTAAAAAATGAGCCTATTCGGGCACAGTCTTCATCCCCCAAATTCATATCATGACATCACGACTAACTTTATGGAGCCATATTAATAATCAGGACGCACATCCAGTGTCAGTGTTTCCGCCTTTCCTGCCTCCAAAACATTCCAAAACTACTGCTTGGTGGTTCTGCGCCCCAAGAAAAAATAAAGTTGGAACCATCATCCTATCATATCCTATCTATATCCTATCTATCTACAGTAGTCCCAGTTCTATGATTGCAACATGTTTTTTGGGAAACCACCGACCAGCTCCAACCAGGGGCAGCCGGCTTCCCACGCCGAGGCTCGACTTCTCGCCTGGATATTCTGCAGGGCGATGTCTTCGGTGCCACTGGCGTTCCAGACCTGGGGCAGCGGGGCCCGAGGAACTGGACGGCAGGTGGAAAGACTTAAAGAGAGAGCTGGAACTGTTCTGGAACAATCTGATATTTATTTATATATATATATGTGTGTGTGTGGATGTATCTGTATCAAATATATATATATATATATATATATGGTACATATCAATATCTGGAAAATACTTAATTATTCGAATAATATTGTCTATAAAGTTGGTAATAAATACAGAATTTTGGAGATGCGAACCACACGTGTCCCAAAAAAGTCCCGAATCTGACTTTCTGGCAATGGTTGTGGCTGCGGTCAGGCCCTTTCATTTGGGCAACAAAGATAGGTCTGGTTGTATGGGCAACAAACCATGTTGAAAAAAAACACGGCACTGAGGTTTCGCAGTACCCAGGCATACTTCAAACCCAGTTGCACAGTCTGATTTGACCTGGAGACAGGTGGCTGGGGGTATAGGGTCAACTGATGGGAAACATCAGCTCTTTTTTCACCGGTCTCCACAGAAAGATGCACGTGAAAACGCATCTCAAGTCCCTGACCATAAAATGGTCATGTTCTCCATTGATTGATTAGTATCCATTGATCATTCCCTTATATATAGTTAATATCCAAATTCTCCATTACACTAATGAGATCACAACTAATGTCCCTTGCCATTACTATCCAGAGTCAGCAATTTTTTTTCGTCACGGGCTGTGCCTTCGACTTCTCGATCTTAGTGCCTTCGAAGTGACCTTCGAAGGGGGAAATAAAAGTGTCAGCCGGGATCATCTTGAGCAATCTGGTTGGTGATTTAATGATGTTTAATGGTGTTTAATGGTGATTTAATGATGGTTAATGATGATTTAATGATGGATAATGATGATTAATGATGGTTAAGAATATCTGGTTGGTGGTTGACCTACCCCTCTGCAAAATGATGGAGTTCGTCAGTTGGGATTATGAAATTCCCAACATATGGAAAGTCATAAAACATGTTCCAAACCAACCAGGATATAATGGGACTCAATGGAGTTTAACTCTGGTGATCAACTTCTCATCTGACAATTCTTATTTGGATGGGACTTCACCAATATGGTGATATGATGCCCATTTACCAACCAGCAATGGGGATGCAATGGGTTAGTATCAAAGGGTATGTATGTAACTTAATCATACTTAATCCCTTCCGGTGATCACATCTTAAATCCAGATAAATCCACCATATGGCTTCCCAAAATGAGCTCAATTGGGAGGGATTTTTGACACCTCTGGGGTGTCCATGGGGCCCAAAGGCGGAACAAAACCATGCGGCCCCGCTCTAAGTCGGTAGGGAAGCCCACTTACTGAGAGATTTATTGATGATTGCAGGTTCCCTCCAAACAAAAACATGAAACAGTTCAAACAAACTCCCTTGGGTTGGTCTTAAATACAATAGTCATCATTTCCCCATCCAAATAAAGCCATTTTCTGGGTCCATGTTCAACCCCAAGCCTATATAGGATCCCTAAAGATATCAGATTGCCCCGGTTCCCTAAAGGATCCAGTTTAGGGGTACCCCCACATTTTTGAACCAACCCACCACGTATATAATCGCCGCTCTGAGCGCCCCCAGCACTGCTGAAAGACTTTGACGATGGCATCGGTGATGGGTCGAATTGCCTCTCCCAGGTGCCCCCCAGGCGACTACCGACGCCAAGGTCACCACAAAACAAAGCAACATCTGCCGGAAAGTTATGGGTTTTTGACTCTGCAAAAATGGATTTGTTTGAAAATAAGGTCATTACAAAGATATCAACATATGAAAATCTCATGGTCCATCGTTTCTCATCATTGTTTCTTACTATATCTTAATGGCCATTGGGAGGTTTGCACCATGTTCAAACCCCACACATGAGAAAGTTCTGCACCAAGGTTCGATGGAGGTATGGTTGGCCCCCAGCTGCTTGGCCAAGTTTTCGGCACGCGAACGGGTCTCTGAGCCACTGTGCTCCTGAAGATCGGAGGATCCCCAAACCATCCCAAGTCACCATGGGTTTCAATGCTAAAATGATCTAATGACTTGGATGATTTGGGGGTAGCTCCATGTTTGGAAACCTCGATATCTCTCAATGAGTGAATGTTGTTTATTCCACTCCATTCTTAAACTTGACTTGCCGTGCTTTTTCTGAGACCCCTAGTCAACATGTTTGAACTTGTTTGGGAGACATCGATTTTGGTGTTTCTTCCAAACCTGTCTTCCCCTCAAAAGATAAATATCTAGAACTCACTGGCGACCAACAAGTTGTTCTTATTCAAGTTTTGAATGTTGCTGAGACTGTATAATAAGTACCGAATGGTGTCTTTAAGACCATTGGAACACCGTTTCCCATCAGAAATCAGGACTTCCCGCCAAACAAAAACAATATGTACCACCAATGACGACCGGATTCTTTTGGTGTTAGATCCAGAACTCATGGTGAGGCATCTGCATGGAGATAGAAACCCTGGTGCCCCGGTGATCATCAAAATAGTTAAGGTAAATGATCAACTATCATATAGGTTACATGGATCATCAAAAAATATGGTATCATATATAATTATATATATATAGGTTTTGATCATGTTTGATTCAGTTTGATCCATAGATATCCATAGCCATATTGCCAATTACCGGCTCATGATGCAAATGTGTCCCAGCCGTGCAACTGTGCAACCCGCCAAAGCGTCAGAAGCCATGTAGCAGGTCACGAAAATCTTGCCACAGAAATCCTGTTTCAGCCGTGCAATGATTTATGAATAATAAACAAAGGCCCGTTGTCATTTCAGAACAAAGGTGCAATATGGTGCCAATAATAAAAACGGTTGGGTTCTTGGACATGAAGGATCTAACAGCTAATCTGGACACGTTCTGAGATGTTCTGGCCCCTGAAAAACCTTGTACCCTCTTGGTTCTACCTGGAAAACCATCTGGAGGTCCTATGATCTTCCGTTACAAAGCTGAAAGGCATCCTATTGAATCATCGACTCTCGGGTGCAGCCCACTCAGGTGAACAAATGGCTGGACTGTGCGGGCGTTTGGACCCCAAAAGCTATCCCCAAATATAGTCTCAGCACTTCTTAGTACCTCTGGGATAGCTGTGAGAAGTATCTGGAGCTGTTGGATTTGAACAATTACTCACTACTTCTGCCAGTTTTGGGACAAGGCAAACACATTTTTACCCTTAGGACTGTCCAGGTTTCAGCGGCATCTAGCCCCGCCTGCCATGACGGTGGTGTGTAGAATGGCCTTTTGGTGACCTTTCGAATGTCTGCCAGGGTTGCAGCTTTAGACCTGGTTTGCCGGCAGCCGGGTTGCCGGAGTGGCAAGGTTTAATCCCTGGATCCCACTGTACCTTGGATGCATCGGGAATGAGGATCAAATCAACCAACCCAACCAAGTCTACTTACCTTAAAATACATAGATGTTGTAGCCCACAGCCTTCCCTTTCATGTCTTGCAATCTTGCACTGAAAAAATCCCACCTCTCAGTCCCTTCGGTGAGTTCCTTGAAAACACGTTGGCACCTCGCAGAACGGACCATGGCGTCATGAGGGGGAACATAGTCCAAATGCGCGGATACATGCGGATACGGTGTCAACAAAAAGATCATACAGTAGGCGCATGCACAATGGAAGACATTGGAAGACCACACTAATTCAACCCTTATCCGGGTATGGGATCATCCAAGCGTGGCGAATGCAACCCTTGCCGTGCCACCCAGGAAAGGTCCCATTGAGGCTGCCACATGATGCCCACCAGCCTCAACACCAGGCTTAGTCACTCAACATGACAGTCAGTCTGTTGGGGTTGAAGGATACTTGGGGGTGCATCCCAGAAAGTAAGAGGGTAATAACCATGTTACCCCGGTTATAATCATGACATGGATTATTCCCAGGTATATGTGGCTTTGATATGGCTTTGATTACTGGGATGCACATCCAAGTACTGGGCAGCATTGGGGCAAGCATGACATGGCCTTGACCGCAATGTGGGGTTGGCAGCAGCACCCTCGCCACAAGAAACGAACCATTTTGAAATTTTAGTGAATTGAAGAGTGTTAACTGAGGAAAACGCTTGGCATAGTTGAGTTTGGTGCCCTCTGTTAACATCACCATTATGGTCAGCTAGAGCAATAAGACAATTCTGGTGTATGGTCATTGATCCCATACTGCGAATCCAGACATCATTTCTATATTTCTATAAATCCAAATTTTTCCATGGTTCATGCCATTATAATCTCACTATATCCCCATTATCCCACGAAATCTCCATTCTTTTTGCAGCAGTTGCAGCAGTTGCAATCCAACAAATTTCATCAAGTCAAGGGGCGCCGCAGTCGAAGAGGAATCCGCTCCACCGGACAAAGGCAGGAAGTATCCACGCTGCCCTGAGCGACGCAGATAGTCCCAAAGCCTTAGAACCGACAAAAACCTCCGGCTGAATTTGGGCGGGAAAAATCGACCAAAAAACATATACCTTTTGCCATGGAAATTCAGAGATGTCCTGCAAACAGCCCCATCCAACGAACTTTTTTTCAATCATTGATCATGATTGATCATGTATATTTGAACATCTGGCTTCGTAGTCTCACAAATCTGGAAAATGGACTTGAGGTGACTGGCAATGGTTGGCCTTGGAATTGGAAGGCCAGCAGAATTCGACTCAACTGATATGATTCAACTGGCAAGATCTGTTCCAGATCCCCGAGGTTGTGGAACCTCAAGTGGTCATGGTTGTTTTTCCCCAAGAGGGTTGCTCCCATGAACCAATTAGTGAGGAAATCTGCGCGTCGCAAGGCATCCCAGTTTGGGCTTGTTTTGGGGCATGCTTTGGGGCTGTATCTTAACCTATGGTCATAACTTGCGATATTCCATCACTGGGGTGTAATATGGTATAATATAATTATTGAAACTGCTTACATTCACTGACTGCGATGCACATCTTCACGGGATGTGTCAAATGCCGGTTCCTGAAAGCATATCCCTGAAAACTATTGAGCACTTTTTGACCTCCGCCCAAAATGGTATTGGAATAGGACGACTTAAATCTATTCAACTATTTCCATTGGCTTTCTTGGACGCCAATGCCAAGGTAATGCTCAGTGCTCAATTCACCATAGTTCCTGGCTGTTTGTCTCCCCCCCCAATACCAACCGCCAGTAGTTCTTTTTCATCAAACATGAACATGGCAGTGGATAACCCATTGGTAGATGATTCGCCTTTTGAAAATCGAGATTCTCCATTGCCAGGTTCGAATACCAAATGGAAATATGATGGAACACCCATATGTATACATGTGTGGTTAAACAATGTTAAGCACCGAATCAACTGTTTTTTTTTACTATTCTTTCAATATGTGTATAACTGTATATACATACATATATATATTGTTATATGCATACATAAGAATAATAAAAACAACAATAATAATAATAATAATAATAATGCTAATAATACTACTAATAATAAAAATAATAAAAATAACAATAATAATGCTAATAATACTAATAATAATAAATAATCAAAAAATAATAATAATTAATAATAATAATAACAATAAAAAAATAATATATATAAAACATATGTATATGTTTATATTTATATCGTGTATATATATATATTTAAATATTAAATTATATAATATTATATGTATATATATATATATCACCACATAACTGGCTTATACCAAGGCTATGAAGACCACAGCTATCCATCCGCCCTGGAGCCAGGCAGAAGGTCCATAAGCGATTTCCTCCATGGGTCCCTCGATCTTTGGCCTTGAAAACTGCGGCTTTGAGCACATGTTTTTTGGGTGTTGCTGGTGTTTTCCAAGTTACCCTCTGGTAAACTGTCACATAACTATGGAAAATCATCATTACAAATATCTCTGTCACTATCACAAGGTGAACATAACCTTACAAATATCTGGTTGGGGGTTGACCTACCCCTCTGAAAAATGACGGAATTCGTCAGTTGGGATGATGACATTCCCAATATGATGGGAAAAAAATCATGTTCCAAACCACCAACCAGTTTTTGAGTGTTGCTTGTGTTTTCAGTGTGTGTGTGTGTGCGTGCGTGTGGATATATTTGGAAATTGATAGATACATACATTTCATTGCATGACATTACGCGTTACATTACACTGCGTTAAATTACATTGCGTCATTACTTTACATTACAATCCATTCCATTTCTTTCCCATTCCTTTTCCATTCCACTACATCACACGCACATGTGTATACACAATCAATATATATATATATATACACTACTAGTATGCATATCTGATGATATTGCATCATATACATGTCTAACAAAGAGTATATTCGTAGCAACAAACACCATTCGGCCCTGCAGCATTCTTTGTGATGGTTGTGAGACTGCTCAAATACTTCTGCATATCATCCCCTCATGGAACAGCACCGGCAAGGGTAAGCCGGGTAAGCATAGGATTGGCAGTTGATCACGTGCGATAGAAAACAACCTGTTCTTTCAGGTCTGATGATGATGATGATGATTATTATTATTGTTATTATTATTATTATTGAGGATGGACAGGTCTACATAGGCCGTGGCAAAGAACAGTCAGCCACCGCACGCAGGACATTCAACATAGAATCCCAACACAGGGCCAATCATTGGATTCAAAAAGATACAAAAAAATCCAGTGCTTCATTGTTGGGTTGCTATTACCGAAAACTTGCCATCTGCAATCCAACTTAAAAACAACTTTGGGATCTGATCCGGAGAAGTCGGTCCCACCCCATATGAGTTGGATGTAGAAACTATGGGGGCTGCCGCTACATCCAAAGATCAACATAGCCGCCCCTTCTCGGAAAATTCACAGTGGGTGAGCAAAATCCTGAGAACACTAGCCTCTGGTAATCAGAAATCAGAAATGGTTTGTTGAACACCCCCCTATTTACTTTGAGCATCTTTGAGCTATAAGGCTTCCATTGGTATGCGCTTTTCCAGCCACGTTGCATTAGAGGGTAAGACCTTGCTCCAAGTCACTGAATGGGCTGCGACTCAGAGATCGTTAATGGTGCTGGGTGGCAACAGCAAAAGTCCACCTGGCCCAAAAAGAGCTGCGGTGGGCACTGGGGCACATGGTTTCAGCCTGAATTCATGGAGACTCTGAGGAGAATAAAAAAAAGGTTGCTGGGGATTGAGATTCCTTTGTCTGATTTTGAATCTAAATGATTAGATCAAAACAGTAAATGAACCTATGCAACGTGAAAACTTACGATAAAAATCCTTCACCGGTTGAAAAAACCATCGTTTTTGCTTTCCATTCGGCACAAAAAACGGGAGGCAACTGCGTTTTTTGCCCCAACCTCCACTCGCGCCACTGTGGGGGTTGAAGATGCTTGGTAGGATCGCGCAATGAAATTGGACCGCATCGATCGAACGTCGTTGAGGTTCACTGTGGCGACCTCAAACGAGCGCCGAGTGGGATCATCAATGATCATCACCTACGGGAGAAAGATTACCCTCTGGTAAACATACAAAATGCTATTGAAAATGGCCGTAGAAATAGATGATTTACCCATGAAACATGGTGGTTTTCCAGTTCGCGAACTGTTGGTTTACCAGAGGGTAAGACATTGTTTTTTCAGACCAACCAGACCAAATAAGATGGACTCTGACGTGCATCATGATGCAAACTGACATGGACGCAGCTGCGAGTTCACTCGGAGACATCAGCATCAACCTCCGAGGTCTATAGTCTACAAGATTCCAACCTGGCAAACGCAAATCGCCAAAAAAATAGAAGTTATCCTGGTTGGTGGTGCAATAACCATCTTGAAAAATATGAAAGTCAATGGGAAGGATGACAACCCGTATATTATGGAACATAAAAAAAATGAAACCACCAGCCAGTATAATTACAAAAGCACATTCTTCAGCCATCTGCATTGGTGGCTACCACCAGGCATGCAAATGACACACCTTGGATTTAGATGGATTACTCGACCCTTGTTTTAATCCATTCAACCTACATATTCTGTACAGTTTTAAGAGACGTCATGCCCCTGGATGAAACACAACATTCCAAAATGATTCAGATGGATTTTTTTTCTCCGATGGATCCTTGAAAATTCGAGAGGAGTCATCCCATTCCTATGGGAAATTCCATCTTCCATCGTATTCCATTCGGAAGGAAACTGCAAGAATCGAAACACAAAATATCTATACCGAGCCCTTTGTAGGGGAGAGCGTCCAGGGAAATATACCGGAGGCAGCCTTTTGGCATGTTGCTCTGCGGGTGCTGGTGGTGTTGCAAGGCAGGTGCCCAAACTTGGAAAAGCATCACCAGTGAGCGAAGCTCTACAATAAAATCATGCCTTCCATATTCCTTCTGAATTTCGTTTTACCTTCGGATAATTTAACATCGCTATGGAAAATCACCCTAATAGGATCTACAATACAGAATAATACAGGTAAATCATCGAACTAAATGGGCCATATTGATGGGCCATTTCCACATAGCTAAAAAGTGTGAAAAAAAAAACATCATTCCAATGGAGCCAAAAAGCCACGACCTCGATCTCATCCAGCATACCAAACTGACTGCCTGCGGAGTTGCGGATCAAACTCAATGGACTTGTTGCGTTGTGGATCAACCGTTGATCGAACATGGATCAAGAATTGAGTTTGAAAAGCTTTGGAAGATGAGATTCCTACATATTCCTACTGGATCTGGCCATGGTTTCGTCTCTTCAAACATCGTTTAACATCATTTTTCATGTTTCGATGGGAAAAAAACTGGTGCCACAACGACCACAGTTGATCCCATGCTTCGGCGTGTGCCATTTCCATGACCCAGGACTCACTGGAGGAACGGTGTATTTTTGACAATATGGCAATCCCAGCGATCGCGAAGAGTTTTACCTGGTTGGTGGTTTCAACCCCTTCCGAAAAATATGAAAGTCAGTTGAGGTTATTATTCCCAATATATGGGAAATAAAACATGTTCCAAACCACCAACCAGTTTTAATACGTGACATTACATGGGATTCGTTCCGGGAGTGTAAATCCTCCAGCCCAGCGGATGGTGATTTAAGCCAAATGAATCATCCCCTGCCACGCGGTTTCCCAAATGTACATCATATTTAATATTTGCAACCCATGGAATTTTCGCAGAAACTCACACGTGCCATCCTTGGATGCGCGACTGATATCCACCTTGTGCCAAGAGCTTTCCATTGCACCACACCATTGAACAGCCATCGAAGTATAGCCGCCCTGGCAGTGTGCGGCGCGGCTGCATGCTGACACATGTTACTCCCCAGGCCAAGTGGTGCCCAATTTTACATATGGGGGTTTCCCAAAATTTGGGTACCCCCGATCATCCAAAAAAAGACTTACTTTAAAGTATTGAAACCGATGATTTTGGGGTACTCATACTTTAGGAAACATCCATATAGTTGGGGGCCATCAGCCTTACATTTACAGCATCCACTAGAAACCCTAGTTAACCCAATCTAGCCATAGACATCCCATAAACCAACTACTAGAAAACTATGAAGTATGGTGAACCACACTTAGTCATAGGCTATTTAAGCGTGGCAGTTTAGTAGCTGCCCTTTAAAAAAGCACCTCCATCGCCGCCTTTCACATTTGCATAGATGTACCTGGGACACTGACGAACCGGATCCTACGGATCGTTTCGGTACCGAAAAAGGGTCAGATTGTGGTGGCAATACTAAACCATATACCGGTACCCTCTGGTTATTTAACATAGCCATGGAAAGTGGTCCATCTATAGGTGGTTTACCGAACTTAAAAATTGTGATTTTCCCTGGCCATGTTAAATAACCAGAGAGTATCCCTAGTTAGGCCCTAGTATCACCAGAAATGGGTGGTACGAATATGCACAAGGTCCCCAACCTTGTAGGTTTATCTTTGGGTTTACCACATTAAAGTTGACCCTCTTTGAGGCTCTTGGAACCTCAAGGTCGAACTGCAGTCACTGGAAATTTGCTGTCTTTGTCCACAAATGTGCTGGTGGTTTCAACCCATGCCCAACGAAGAATTCAGCCATGAGACTGACTGGCAGTTTTTTGCATCACGAAGAAATTCCCAACTACGCAACACATCCCAGGTCGAGAATATGGCCGAAATTGGAATGATTGTCCCAGGTAGTGATGGACAATGGAGAAACATATAGAAACACATGTTTTTGAAACCACCAGTCTGTTCTACTTGGTTTAATCTCCCACATTTCATGGAAATTCCCGTGTTTTTTCGTAACTACGTGCCACAAACCAACGAACCATTCCCTCAACCACTGTCAACCTTGAAATGTTTGGACCTGGGAGATTCGCCACGAAGCTGTTGGGATCCCAACATAGCAACATAGGTTCCAAATTCATGCCCATTTGGTGTGGTAAATCACCCCCCCTGCAGGCGCATAGACCCACGATGATTTGTTCGATATAGACTGATAATCGAAGAAATCTCTCAAAAACTGGCACCATGAGCAAACAAAAACGGATTTGTTTGGCGCCAGATTTTCAGACCAACCCCATTTTTTTCCAGCACATCCCCCAGCTATCGCTGTTCCAAGCTGCACCCCACCACTCTTGGAGGTAGCGCCCCGAACCAAGTCGATGCGCTTGTCAAGCTTCCTATCTGAGAGAAACCGTGAAGAAGCTGGGACGGTGGTAAGATTCATAGACCCATTGTCCCATTGTGTAAATAATATGAAAATGTGTGTTTTTATCTAATTATATATATATAATTATATATATATATATATATATATTGTAATTTCCAGACCACATCTCTCTGAACTTGTGCGAGACTGTAATGCAAGGATTGACAATGGGTGTCAACTATGGATTCAACCTTGGGAGTCACTACCTCATGAGGATTTCGGCTCTGGGTGGCCGTCGAGGGCTTAGGACGCGACTTGGGAGTCGCCTGCACCTTTCACTCGTGCGAAGCCATAGAAAAACCGTTTGAGCTCCGGTGGGCTTTGGTGTTGGAGAAGTTTTCTTAGATTGGCTACCAGTGCAGGTGATTCTGCATTGGTAGCGGAGCTACCAGTAGCCGCTCAGCTATCAGTTCCTTTTTCTGGTCCAAACTGTGAGTGGAAGCTACTTGATCCAGGATGTCAGGGACAACCACTGGTGGGGATGGAGATCAACCAACAGTGCCTGGAACTCCGAATGCGTCGTTGTCGCATTTGCCATGGACCATGATACCAAGTTTCCGCCCTGGGGACCCAGACATCAATGAGTATACCAAGAAGTTGGAATTTCTGGCAAGTCTGTGGCCGCCCGAGCACTTGTCGCATCTAGCTCCGAGAGCGGCCATGATGTGTGAAGGCAGTTCCTTCAAGCGTGTGATGAGGCTGGACCCAGCCAAACTCAAGGTGAATACCACCGACGGCGTGAAGCTGTTAGTGACCACGTTAGGAGGAATCTGGGGCAAAAGCAATTTAGAAGAGAAATTCGAACGTTTTGAACGAGCCATTTACACAACAGTGCAAAGGGCCGATGAATCGCATGACAGCTACATGGCACGTCACGATTTCCAATTCGAAGAGTTGCTTCAAATGGGGGTTTCTTTTGCAGACATCAGGGCCTATATTCTTTTGCGGAATTCTGGTTTGGGATCTGAAGATAAGAAGAAGCTTATAGTGGACTCCCATGGCAACCTGGAGTATCAAGCCATTGTCTCAGCACTGAAATTGCTCGGTTCCAAGTTTTTTCATGAAGTGCAAGCGGGAAGCAAATTTCCCAACCGCGTCAAGACGTATGACGTCAATGCCGTGTTTGATGAAGACTCGGGATCAGGCTTTCCAGAAGATGACCATTTTTTCATGGGTGAAACCTGGGATGAATCGGAAATTGCATATGATGATAATGATCCCAATGCCATCGTTTGCATGCAATTCGAGGAAAGCTTAGTGGATGCATTGCAGTCCGATGCCGACCTTGCAGCCTGCTACAACACGTACCTCGATGCCCGAAAGAGGATCAATGACCGCAGTCGCAACAGGGGTTTTTGGGGTAACAGTAAGGGGTCAATGTCCCAGAATAAAGGCAAGGCAAAAGGTAAAGGCAAAGGACAATTCCGTTTCCGGAAGCCATTGGCGCAGAGGATCTTAGAGTCCGAATGCAGGCGTTGTGGTGCCAAAGGGCACTGGAAAGCTGAGTGCCCGCTCAACCGAGCGAGCACTCCCAATCCGAATGCTGCAGCTGCCTCGAATGCCGGTGCTTTCACTGGCGCCATCGTCACCGGAGATGCCCATGGAGTTGAGGATGACATGATCCTTGTGACTGAGGCCCCCCACATGCATGCTCAGGTATCCAAGGGTTTGCACAGTTTTGTTCATATGGTCCAAGTGTCGGAGTCCAGTGTTCCTTCCCCGACAGCACTGGCCAGGCTTGTGAATTCCCTGAAGAGTCGCCTAAGCCCTCCTCGGCCTGATTTGAAGGTGCCGACAACAGCCATGGTCCAACCGGACCTCACCATGGATGTGCACTTTGTAAGTCACGGACCCTTTGGAATTGTAGACTTAGGTGCCAGTCAAACTGTCATTGGACAACAACTAGTGTCTGATCTCATGCAAAGCTTGCCAAAAGATGTTGCCGATCAAACGCAGAGGGTCCCCTGTGACACTGTCTTCCGTTTTGGAAATAGCAGCACGGTAGTTTGCCAATATGCTCTCCTGGTCCCCTTGGCCAAATGGAGAGTCAAGATCTGTGTTGTCAAGAGCCAGACACCATTTCTCATATCCAACAATGTTTTCCAGACGTTGGGGGCCAGGATCGACACCGATCAAGATGCCGTGTTTTTCTCCAAGATTCAGATTCACATGCCTTTGAAGTTGTCAGAAAAGAAGCTGTACTTGCTGGACTTTTGTGAATTGATTCGACGTAGTGCACAGGCAGGTGGTCAGGTGTCCGAGGTCCAAAACATGTCTCACATGCATATCATGAGTGCCCAGGGTTTTTCAAATTCAAACACTGAACATGATGAAAACCATCAAGCCTCTCATCATCCGAATCCAGAAGCTGAGAACACCTCCGATCACCAGCCTTTGGTGTCAAAGGAGAACCAAGCATCCGTGCCTCCCAGTCCGTGCATTGTGAGTTCGCCGCTGCTTCATGGCCATGTCGAGCTTGGCAGATCGCTTTCAAGCCTTGCAGGTGCAGCAGAAGAAGGCCGAGTTCATGTCGATGTCCTTCGACGACCTGTCACAAATGAGGGTGTCGTTTGGGGAAACCAAGGTCAACCAGACCTTTCTGGAAGTGATCGAGGGAGACCCAAAGTATGTTCAGTGGTTTGCGAAGAAATACCAGAACAGCCAGAAAGAGTCCCACCAAGCGTTCCTGTTCTTCCTGAGCCTTTATGTGGAACGCAAAGAACTGGAGAAGGGACTCGAGACACCGAGAGGAGCACCGACATCGAGCCACCTCAAGTCCAAAGCCAAGGCCAAGCCGGCCGTGAAGAATCCCTCCGAACATGGGAGCCAGGTATCCTGGTCCGACCAAGAGGACCCATGGGATGTGATGCAAGGAGCGCAGATGATGCCACTGCCAATTCAGGAAGAGATCGAGGACAATCGTCGCCGACTCAGCAACATGGAGGAGGCCCTGACCCAGATCACGCAGCAGCTCCAACTTCTGACCCAAGCCACCATGGGCCAGAAACAGGGCCAGTAGATCTGAATTCCCAAGCCGACGGATTGAGAACATTGATGTGTGATTCTGTAGGAGTTTACAACATGAATTGCCGGCAGGAAAGAACTCATGATCCTGTGTTTTTCAACGATGAGATAAACCTTGCTCATGAGCTATACAACTGGGTGGATGAAGAAATGTGGATGTACTTTCAAAGCAAGTATCCTCACTTGAACTTAGACCAGATGAAACACCACTTCCAGTCGTCAAAGGCCGATGTTCTTGAAGTTTATTGCTCTGACCAGAGTCAGCTTACACATCAATGCCAGAGCCTTGGGATGTCAGCCGTCCGATTTGGTCTCAAACAGGGAGATCTCGCATCCTTTGCTGGACGATCCAAACTTTATGACATGTTGTGGATTTTGCGACCGAAACATATTTGGATGTCTCCGAAGTGTGGCCCCTGGTGTGCATGGAGTAGGCTGAACATGTCTAAGTCTGAACGTTTGGAACAACAGATTCTGTCGGATCGTCGTGCAGAGAACACTCACCTGTGTTTATGCGATGCCTTGTTTCGTCTGCAGTATTGGCGTGGAGAGAACTTTCATTTTCACTTGGAACAGCCTCTTGGATCAGAACTTGTTTATCAGAGGGAAATGAAGACCATTGTCACTCACACTCTCAAAGCCATTTGTGATATGTGTGCAGCCGGCAGTCTCAAACACCCGGAGAATGATGGTTTTTTGAAGAAGATCTCGAGAACACAGGTTCTGACGACGTCACGGATCTTATGGAGGACTCTTGAACAATTGCAGTGCCAAGGGACACATCCTCATGATCATGTTGCAGGTTCATGTAAAACTAAGTTGAATGAGAGAATGTCTGCGTCCAAATACTCGGAACTCTACACTGCCATGTTTGGGAAAAGAGTCGCCCGATCCATCCGATGTAGTCTCCAAGTGAGGGAAGTTGCTGCCTCTGATGCAGACCTGTTCTCAAGTTTGCCGGATGTTGCACTAACAGTCGGACCGAAGCCAGAGAATCTCCCAGAGCCGAAGCGCAGGAGACTATCAGGCAAGTTCCAGCCCGATCAGTTATTTGTGCCAAGTTCTCAGAGTCCAACAGAGACTCCTGCACCGATGCCTGCCAGTCGCCCCGATGAGCATCGCAGAAACCAGATGAATCAGGCACTTCACATGGCTGAGCAGTGTACACCAAGGGTTGGTAAAGTCATCATCCAAGATGGTCCCCTGTTTCAACTTGTTCAAGAGATTTTTCCAGACAAGCAGGTTATGGTGTTGGATATTTGTCGAGGCATCAATCGTATGCGTGTCTGTCCCATTGGACCCAAAGGTCTGGCTCCATACAGAAGGGTAATTGGCAAGCGTCGAACTGACACATCGATGTTTTTCGATGACACCTGGGAACATTGGGAGAACCTGTCTCACCGTCAGCAGATTCGAGGCGGGGTTCCTTCCAAGATTTTACTCACGGTGTTTGCCTCCAATAAGCGAACCAACCCAGAGCTGGAACACGCTGGAGAGGGTGTTGCGGATCAACAGATCCTGAAGAGAACCCGTTTCCAAGTAGGAAGTGATTCACAGTCTCCTGCCATAATTCCGGATGTTGAAGTCCCCAGTACAACTCCAAAGACTGAGCTCAATCCCGATAATCCTGAAACATGTAAACTCCCTGAATCATGTCACAGTCATGGCCCAAAATTCAGAGCACTAGCCCCAGAAGTCCAAAACCAAGTGAAGAAGATCCACCAAAACCTAGGTCACCCCGATACCAGGGTGTTGCAGTTGGCCTTAAAAAGGTACGGATGGCCTGAAAGTGACATCCGTGGTTGTGCCGATTTTGTGTGTCCTGCATGCTTTGAAAGTAAGCAGCCTAAAGCGTATCGGTCGAGCCATTTGCATGAACCTCGGGATTTCAATGACCTGGTTTCTTTTGATGGCGCTGAATGGACTGATCCGAATGGAAAGTCATATTCTTTTTTTCACTTCATTGACTCAGCCACCAATTTTCACACTGCCATCCCATATCAACAGCGTACGACAGAATCCCTTATCCATTCCCTGAACACTGCATGGATCAGATGGGCTGGCCCTCCCAAGAGGATGATGTTCGATAGTGCCACCGAGTCGAACAGTGAAGAGTTCGCAAGATACCTGCAGGAACAGTCCATTGTCAGCTATGTAATTCCCACTGAGGCTCATTGGCAACTCGGTCGTGCAGAGCGACATGGTTCAATCTTGAAGCATATGATAGATTTGTATCATGCTGAACACCCCATCAGGAATCATGAGGATTTTGAACAATGCTTGATCCATCTCTGTAACTCCAAGAATGCAATGTCCCGCCATGAAGGGTTCACCCCTGAGCTCTGGGTTTTAGGAAAAATGAGACCTTTACCTGGAAATAACATTTCTGCCCCGACCGACAGTGCCAGTTATGCCGGACTCGATGACCCGGTCACTGAAGGAGAACGCTTTCAGACCATGATGGCTAGGAGAGAAGCTGCCAGGTTAGCGTTTGTGAAAGCTGACCATAGCGCTTCCCTCCGAAAAGCGCTCCATGCCCGGTCTCGACCAGACCGTGTCAAATTCAAGATTGGGGATCTTGTCATGTACTGGAGAGGCGGTAAAGGGGTAGAACCAGGTTCTTGGAGGGGCCCTGCAAGAGTTTTGATGATTGAAAGCCAAAATCTCATCTGGTTGAGCCACATGACCCGCCTATATCGATGTGCCCCGGAGCATGTTAGATTGCTGTCTGAAGATGGGATGCAATCTCTTTCTCAAGAGGATCAACAACTGCTCCAGCTGCCAGATCGCTGTGGTAATGGGGTTTTCCAGTATCGAGAGTTGGTAGGCCAAAATACACCTCCAATCCCAGAAATTCCAGGTTCCCGCAGTAACCCCAACTCAAATGAGACACCAGATACCATCATTGTTCAACCTAACCAAGAAACCAATGACCAAAATGAAATTCAGAACAGCCCAATCACTCCGAGTGTTGGTCAACCAGATGCCGAACCAGCAAGCTTTGACATGCCTGCCAGTAATCCAGCTTCATTGGAACCAGTGGATTTTCATGGGCCGGTAAATACTCCGATTCCAAATGACACCGCTGATGATGAATTGATCACCACCACGCATCGCCAAGACCATTGGGTAGTCCATCCTGATTGCATTGTGCGACACCATCTTCAACCGAGGATTCACATGTTTTTTCCAACAGAAGTGTTTGAGTGTCCTGTACCACTGGAAAGCCTGGCCCCAATGCGACGAACGAGCGGCCAATACTTGTCAGGTGGGACTTTTGAACGGCATGAGCATTGGAAGAACAATGTGACTGCACATAGCATTGCACCGGAGCCATGGACTGGATGCACCACATTCCAACTCACTAAGAATAATCCACCACATGATAACCACCAAAATACTCAAATCATAAATAACCTTAACGATAGTCCACCCCAAGCTTACCAATATGAAATTTTCCTCACCTTGGATGAGATGCAAAAGTGCCTTGGAAGAACCTATGAAAGCCAGGAATGTTTTCTTGCGTCCGCTGCCAAGAGACAAAAGGTCGAGGTCAAATTGAAAGACTTGACCCCGGAAGAAATTGAGATGTTTAAAAAGGCAAAAGACAAAGAAATTGACTCATGGCTATCAACTGATACTGTTCGAAAGATTTTACGCCACCAGGTTCCTGAGGGTCAGTTGCTGAGATCTCGTTGGGTTTTGACATGGAAATCCCTGGATGATATTGAACAAAAGGAAACCGGAACATCTCGGAAAGCCAAAGCAAGACTTGTCATTTTGGGATTTGAAGATCCAATGATAGATTCATTACCCAGAGATTCACCTACGTTGGGGAAAGACTCCCGCATGTTAGCTCTTCAGTGCATTGCCAGCCATCGGTGGAATGCACGATCGTTTGACATCCGGACGGCGTTTCTCCGTGGCAGCAGACAGGATTCAAGAATCCTTGGAGTAGAACCACCCCCTGAACTTCGTTTGCGTATGAAACTTGGGGATGATGAAGTTTGTGAGTTACTTAAGGGAGCCTATGGCTTGGTGAATGCCCCTCTCTTGTGGTACTGCGAATTGAAGAATGCCCTGCTTGGACTAGGATTCGTCATTTCTCCAATGGACCCATGTTTGTTTGTGTTACCGAAAAAGAATGTCCTCAATGAGCACGAACCAAAAATTCATGGTGTCTTGGGTGTACATGTTGACGATGGCCTGGGTGGGGGTGATGCAGTCTTCAATCAAACCATCAAGATGTTGGAGAAGAGATTCCCCTTTGGTAGCCAGCGACAAGGAGCCTTTACTTTCACTGGAATCAACCTAACTCAAGATCACAATGGGGATATATCCTTAAACCAAAAGACCTATATCAACGATATACCACCCATCAATGTATCTCGAGAACGTAGATTGCAGCCTGATGCCAAAATTACTCACCAAGAACTTCAAGATCTCAGGGGTTTAATAGGTAGCCTGCAATATGCCGCCTCAAATACCCGTCCAGATTTGTCATGCCGGTTGAGCCTTCTCCAAGCCAGAGTCACGTGTGCCACTGTATCCGATTTACTCCATGGAAACCGACTTTTAATGGATGCCAAGCGATTCTCAGACATCTCCATCAAGATCCAAGCGCTAGATCCCAATAAACTTCGGTTTCTATCATTTTCAGATGCAGCGTTTGCCACCCGTGAAAAGGCACACTCTCAGAAAGGTTGTCTTATCCTTGCCACGACTGAAGAAATCAATGAAACCAGATCAGCTCCTGTAAGTCCTCTCTTATGGTTTTCGAAGAAGATTAATCGTGTGGTATCAAGTACCTTAGCTTCAGAGACCTTTGCACTATCTGGCGCTTTGGACTTGTTGAGTTGGACGAGACTTCACTGGTCATGGATACTGAATCCTTCAGCCTCATGGAAAACACCTGAAAAGACGCTAAAGGTTTTACCACCAGCTTTCGCAGTTGTAGATTGCAAGAGTTTGTTTGACTTGTTACAGAAAACATCAATACCACAGTGTACAGAACATCGAACCACACTCGAAGCCTTGGTGATTAAGGAACGTTTGCAAGAAGGAGTCATTGTTAAGTGGGTTCACTCCGCTGCGCAAATGGCTGACTCACTGACCAAGGACATGGACAATACAGTTTTGCGAGCATTCCTTCGTCATGGTAAATGTGTGTTACATGATGTTGAAGAAGTTCTCAAGCAACGAGCAGACAAAAAAGTCAGACAGCAGTGGTATGAACAAACCAGTGCCGAGAAATCCGCCTTGCATGCGTTTGCATTGGCCATCCTGCAGTAGCCGGTCCTGCTCCGAAGTGCTCAGGGCTATGCGAAATTTCAGCGATAGACCAAGCTTAATTCCAATCCTGTGTAAGTTGTCACACGCCACCGCCAATCCCTTGTGCAGTGCATGTAAGAACCAAATGTGGCTTGATGATTTATTTTTGCCAGGAAAGTTTACTGAATTCAGCAGATCCTCCATCTCTATAAAAAGAAAGAAAAGATTTTTTAGGAGTGTAATTTCCAGACCACATCTCTCTGAACTTGTGCGAGACTGTAATGCAAGGATTGACAATGGGTGTCAACTATGGATTCAACCTTGGGAGTCACTACCTCATGAGGATTTCGGCTCTGGGTGGCCGTCGAGGGCTTAGGACGCGACTTGGGAGTCGCCTGCACCTTTCACTCGTGCGAAGCCATAGGAAAAGCGTTTGAGCTCCGGTGGGCTTTGGTGTTGGAGAAGTTTTCTTAGATTGGCTACCAGTGCAGGTGATTCTGCAATATATATATATATATGTGTTTATTTTATTGTTTATTTATTTATCTATCTATATATATATATAAATATTATATTTATGCATATCATACTGAAGCCATTCGGAATGCTATTTCCTGTTGCCAACCTTTCGGGAGGCTAGATTCCAACGTGAGCGCAAGGTCACGGAGACAGGACTGCGTTTGAATGGGAAAACCATCGGGCGAAGTGGGAGATTTGTCAGCCATGTTTGCCGGAGTAGATGTTCATATTATATCATACTATGATCATATTATGATATGATATGATATGATACGATATGATATGGTTCAGTATGTTCCCCATCTATGTTCGACCATCAACCTGTAGGCCGTTGTTCACGTGTCTTCAGGGATCACTGGTCATCAAAACCACCGGTGTCGGCTCGGTGCAACGGCACCAACGGCACCTCAACTGGTGGTGACTCCCGGAACCATTGGCGATGATTTCCACGCCTCGGTCCCCCGAGCTGAGAGCTGATTGTGGGTAAAACGAGAAGATTCCCGGTTTATGTGAAGCCCCCCAGTGATGTTTGTTGGTTAACAAAAGCCCCAGTAACTATAGTTATAAGTACCATAAACCATAGTTATTGGAGTTATAAACCAACTTAGCTATCTTGGGGGCCTCACATTGTGGTTTATACACGATTTAATATGGGTTAATATGGGTTAATCTTTAGGGTTAATAAACTCCATATTTTTTTGATTGGTTTATACCACGTATAAAAATGCTGATGACGGGATGGGGCTGGTTTCTGGCATTGTTTTACCCACATTACCAGAAGATTTTCTATGACCCCCCAGTTGAATTGGAGGTTCTCACTGTAGCATATTGATGCATATGGGCACCGATGACCGGTGCAACTCCCCATAGTGCCATAGTAATCAGTCAGAGATTCAACAATCCTTGGTTGACCTTTCTTTGATTGCAAAAAAAAACATGTCCTGATTACCAGTCAGGGTTCAATAATCAATGGATATGTTCTTTGTTTCTTCGTGCTTTGGAACGCCATGGATCATATGACAAAGGCACCTACCAGATCCTAAACCACTCGCATCCACTAACCACCAGTCATTGGTTGGCAAAGGGGAATGCTGAAAACAATCATAGGAAACGGCTACCGTACCAAAAAAGGCCTGCAACTTAACTGGTCGACATAGAGACATATTGAGAAGTCATAAACTCATAAAGCAAAAGTTCAATCAGGAAACTTACCCTCTGGTACATTAACATAGACCCCGAAAATCACAATTTTTAGTGGAAACTAATCTTCCAACCCCTATCTGCCAGAGTCTATGTTAATTTACTGGAGGGTAACTGGTACTTTCCCAGCCAACTTATGAGCCGTTGAGCCAATCAACTTCTGGGGTCACCTTTGCCGCTTCAGGGCCGTGGGGCTTAACTGGGACTGGGTGGGAAACTGGTCGTCTCCGAGTTGGCTAAGCCATGCTAAGGCCATATCGTCATACACATGGCTAGCTGAGAAATAATGAAACAAGGTGGGCATCTAGCTGAATCTAGCTAGCTATATGTTTAATTAAATATTATATATATAATGTGTATATATAGAGAGAGAGAGAGAGAAATTCATGGAGCTATTCATGGAGAATTTCCAGCCAGCCATGAGCTATCCTCCTATCCATCTTCACCTAGGGACCATCCAGTGCCAGCTTGATATGTGGAGCATCCGGGGTGAACAGCTCTTCGCACGTTTCTGTGGCGAGGCAGGTGTCCTGCTAGGACTCGGCAGGAGGACTGATAGGATGAACTGCTAGGGGTGATCCAGCTATGGATCTGATCCTGGATATCCTCTCTGGTAAACTAACATAACTATGGAAAATCACCACTTTTAATGGGAAAATCCACTATAAATGGGCCATTTTCCATGGCTATGTTAAATAACCAGAGGGTATATGATTTATATGGTTACTGTTTATTGTATGGTATCCCAATTACCATATTGGAACCTAGCGCTGGTTGCATTGGACCATAGTTTTGATGGGCATGTTGGTTTCAATTCAAATGGCAACCATCATTAACAATCATAAACCGGCATTAACCATCACCAACCATATTATAACAACATTGTTCAACCATTGTTAGCCATCACCAACCATCATTAAGCATCACACATCGATGCTTTTGGCCATTCTATGCCACTCTTATGGTCTGACCAAAGCAATGCTTGAATGGTCAGGTCCACCCCCACCTTCGTTGAGACAGCGAAGATTCCTGAGGCTGGGTGAACACCCTATAGGTCAGGCAAGGTTATTTGGAGCAAAATAGGTAGCTCTAAAAAAAATACATTTTTGAAGATAATTTTGGTCGATTTTTTTTAACTATTAGTTAAAAAAAATTACCTTTGAAGGTAATTATTGAGAACCTTTTTCAAGGTAATTTTTAAGGGTTATGTTTTTTCACTTCGTTTTTACATATATATTTATTTATTTTCTTTTGTTATATGGTATGTGTCTGATGTTCTCTTGGGGTTACTATATACGTGCTGCTGACATATGTGCATGGGTTTATTTCATGTATTTTGACAGGGTCTCATGTTTTTCCCTTGGCACTTGGATTGGATCAAATGATTTGATCATGGGTAGTGTTTGTGTCACTGACAAAATTTATGAAACAACAGCATGACAAAAATGAGGAAAAGTCAGAAAAGGCATGAAACAAGATTATGGCAATAATGAACCAGTCATACTTGGCAATGAAGCATTATCCAAGCATGCATTCTGTCTTTGAAAGCTCAGTGAGGGCATCCTCCAAAGTATCATTGATTTTTGGTCTTTCTTGTCTCTACCCAGTCGCTCCTGAACCACTTTGGTTTCTTTGATGTCATTCTGCACACTTGCCCAGCTCAGTTTAACAGGAGCATCAGAAATCGCTTTTGGCAATGCTGAGGATGAAGTAACCACAGCTGGTGTAGAGGAAGCACTGCTACCACTACCACAACCACCACTACCACCACAACTAGCTCCAGTGCCAAGCTGGCTCCAGGGCCTGCTCGGCATGAATTGACTCATCTGCGAATAACTCATCCTTGGTGATGTTGGCTTGGCCACCATGCAAGACCATGGAACTGCCCTGCTTCTTCTCAATGGCTGTGGCTATTGTCCTGACATGATAGTAACCATCTTTCTGATAGACATCACCTCGTCTTTCTGCTCATTCAAAGCTTGCTGGTTTCCCTGGATTTTGTCCACAACCAAAGCCAACCCAGTAATCTGAGATTTGTTGCAAATCTCAGAGTTCTTCTTGAAAACTTCGAACACTGGGTATTTCCAGGAGCAAACACAGACTCGCCTCTGGTGTTCAAGAGAATTCTTGGAGCCCTCTTCTTCATAGAGCTGCTGAAGATCTTCTGGCACCTGGCCACTTTTGATCATTCTGGCACATTTCCTTACCTTGGGGTAGCTTCGATGCTCATCATCAGCAACTGTTGCATCCTCCTCTTTAGGCTCCTCATCTTCTCCTTCTGCATGGTCATCAGGAACTGGCTCATCCCTGGTCTTCTTCCATCCTGCTGCCATCTCCTTGACAGTCTTCGCTTTGGCCTTGGCTTTCGCCTTCAGCTGCATCAGGTCTTGTCAGGATTTTCTTCATTGTGCTCTTGGCTTTTGCCTTTTGAGCTTTCATTGGCGAAGAAGTAACCCCAGGAGCTTTGCTGGCAGCAGCCTTGGCTTTACCTGCTGCCTTTGCCTTGACTTTAGATTTTGCTTTCACCTTGGCTTTGGCCTTTGCCTTGGGTGCTGCAGTATCTAAGAATCTAAGTCAGCTCATGGGGCAGCCTCTTCTGGAGAAGCCTGTTCTACAGATTCTGGTGCTGGTTCAGGTGGAGGCAAAAAGCAAGCATAGCATCAGGTTACCAACAGGGGCGACAAGTGACAAGTAACTTCAATCTTGAGCACCAGTGTGCTACACAGATGGTATATAAAATTGGGGATGTCTCAAAATAGGGGGCCCCAAGCCCTTGTTTTTTAGTGTGCAAAACAGAGCTTTGGGGCACTCCTATTTTGAGACATCCCTAAGTGTACACTTGACGTAAATTCCAGCCTTTCACCAAAAGTAACTCCATGAAGAACATGTTTTGCCCATGATGATGTCAGAAAAGCTTACAACAGAAATACCAAAGACCTTGTGAATGTATCAATCAACAAATGTGATATCTATACTTCACAATGGATGTTGCATGGCTTTTTCATTTTCATTGAACAAAACTTAAAAAAGTAGAACTGGAGATGTCTCAAAACGTCTGAAAATTGGTTCCCGAAACCGAAGCCTAACATGTTCAAAAACTGGTTCCACAATGGTACCTAGGAAAATGAAAGGTGCTTTAAGCCATCTTAAGGTACCTTTCATTTTTTGGAAAAATAAAACATTAAAGAAATAGAAATGGAGATGTCTCAAAATGTCTAGAGCAATTATTTTATTGCAATTTCAGTATTGTACATATCTTGTTTGTTTTGTTATTTACGTGCTGCTCTTGTCCTATGATTATTTTGATGAAACTCTAAGACGTAATGTGCCTAAATATCACTGTCTATATATATATATATGTTTATTTAAATATATATATATATGTATGCATTAATACGCATGTATTCAGGTGGTGTGGTGTTATTAGTCATTAGTTGGCTTGGGGTTACAGTTTTGCAAACCGCACCCATTGCATGCCAACCAACCCTATAAGGTACCTTGTAAAATGAAAGGTGCTTTAAACCCCCCTTCAGGTCCTTTTTTTTGCAAAACAAAACAAAAAATGGGAATGTCTCAACAATGTCTAGTGCAAATATCTGATTATAGTTTCTGTATTGTACATGTGCTTTTTCTTTTCTTATTTATGTATGTTCACCTAATGCAATTGCTCTTGCCCTATGTTTTTTTGATGACACTTTAAGGCATAATGTGACATAATGTACCCACATACTAATGTGGAGGTATATGTGTATTCATGTGGTGTGGGGTTGTTATTTGGTTTGGGGCTACTGTTTTCAAACAAAACCCATTGCATGCCAACCAACCCTATTATATAGGTACTTTGTAAAATAAAACGGTGCTTTAAGCCCCCCTAAGGTACCTTTTCATTTTTGGGAAAAATAAAACAAATAAACATATAGATGTCGCAAAATGTCTAAGGCAAATGTTTGATTACAATTTCAGTATTGTACATGTGTTTGTTGGTGTTTTTTTAATGTATGTTCACCTAATTTAGTTGCTCTTGTCCTAGGATTTTTTTGCTGCAACTTCAAGACATCATGTACCCAAATACTGATGTGGAGGTATATATGTATATATGTGTGTATTCATTTGGTGTGGGGTTATAATTTGGTTTGGGGTTACTGCATTGCAAACCAAAACCATTGCATGACAACCAACCTATGTTTGGGGTTTCTATTTTGGAAACACACAGCATTCAATCAAACACAAACCATGGTTGGTACTACATGTTTATCTAAACACCAGGCAACAATAACCTTCGTTTTTTATTTGATTTTTTTAAATGAGAAAAACACTTACAAAGAATAGTAATCCATATTTGGGGTTACTTCTTTTCAATGATCCCAACAATAGATCCCTATGTTGCTTTTATTTTTTCAAGCAGTAGCATACATGAAACCTATTTAAAAAAAAAACAAACAAAATTGAAATGAAAAACTCATTTTTTTGAAACAAACAAACATGGTTTTCAAGAAAATAAACACTATTTTTTTAAAGAAAAAACAAGTTTTCTCTATATTTTTTGTTTACTGCCCTGAAAGTTTGTTGAAAGTTTGTTGCAAACTTTCAGTCAAACTTTCAGGGGGGGTTGCAAGTTTGACTGAAACTCTCAATGCAAACTTGCAGGGCTGGATTGAAAGTTTCAATGCAAACTTTCAAGGCTGGATTGAAAGTTTAAAGAAACTTGCAGGGCTACACTGAAAGTTTGCATGAAAGTTTCAATGTAGCCCTGCAAGTTTCTTTAAATTTTCAATCCAGCCTTGAAAGTTTGCATTGAAACTTTCAATCCAGCCCTGCAAGTTTGCATTGAAAGTTTCAGTCAAACTTGCAACCCCCCCTGAAAGTTTGACTGAAAGTTTGCAACAAACTTTCAACAAACTTTCAGGGCAGTAAACAAAAAATATAGAGAAAACTTGTTTTTTCTTTAAAAAAAATTAGTGTTTATTTTCTTGAAAACCATGTTTGTTTGTTTCAAAAAAATGAGTTTTTCATTTCATTTTTTTGTTTTTTAAAATAGGTTTCATGTATGTTACTGGTTGAAAAAAATAAAAACAACATAGGGATCTATTGCTGGGATCATTTTAAAAGAAGTAACCCCAAATATGGATTACTATTCTTTGTAAGTGTTTTTCTCATTAAAAAAACCAAACAGTGGTTGTTTATTGTGCAAATTGTTTTGACATGTTACACCCACCATGTCTAAATGTGTTTTAAAAAGTAACCCAAAACATGGTTTGGTTGTCATGCATTGGTTTTGGTTTGCCATGCAGTAACCCCAAACCAAATTATAACCCCACACCAAATGAATACACACATATATATATATATATATTTAATATCCACAGTAGTATTTGGGTACATTATGTATTGAAGTTGCATCAAAAAATCCTAGGACAAGAGCAACTACATTAGGTGAACATACATAAATAATACATCAACAAACACATGTACAATACTGAAACTGTAATCAAACATTTGCCTTAGACATTTTGCGACATCTATATGTTTATTTGCTTTATTTTTCCCAAAAAAATGAAAAGGTACTTAAGGGGGCTTAAAGCACCTTTTTATTTTACAAAGTACCTAATAGGGTTGGTTGGCATGCAATGGGTTTTGTTTGAAAACAGTAGCCCCAAGCCAAATAATAACCCCACACCAAATAAATACACATATACCTCCACATTAGTATGTGGGTACATTATGTCACATTATGCCTTAAAGTGGCATCAAAAAAACATAGGGCAAGAGCAATTACATTAGGTGAACATACATAAATAAGAAAAGAAAAAACACATGTACAATACAGAAACTATAATCAGATATTTGCACTAGACATTTTTGGGGCATTCCCATTTTTATTTTTTGTTTTATTTTGCTAAAAATAAAAAAGGTACCTTAAGGGTGGTTTTAAGCACCTTTCATTTTACAAAGTACCTAATAGGGTTGGTTGGCATGCAATGGGTTTGGTTTGCAAAACTGTAACCCCAAGCCAACCAATAACACCACACCAAATGAATACACATATATCTCTACATTAGTATTTGTGTACATTATGCCTTAAAGTTTCAAAAATCATAGGACAAGAGCAATTACATTAGGTGAACGTACATAAATAAAACAAAAAGCCACATGTACAATACTGAAACTGTAATATGTTTTTTGCCACATATACCACCACTGATTATTGATTGAATACATATATATATATATATATACATATACATACTGTATATATATATACTATTTAGTTGTTCATTTATTGTTTTTTGTTATTCATTCTTTATATATATATATATATGTTTTATTTTTCTAATTATATATTTGTTTATCTTGTTAATGTTTTTGAACACGAACCACTTCTTAAAGTCACAGCATATCTTTAAGTATTGTTTTCCATTATTGCATGCATAGGACAAATATTCATTTCACAAAAACATATTACCATCCAAAAATAAGAAAATCTCATGCAGCACCTTTTGTGAATGATAAATAGCACAATGGTTGGTTGATACATGCACGAGGTCTTTGGTATGTGGGCTACTTTTTTGGTGAAAGGTTGGAAAATATGTCAAGTGTACAAGTGCATTTACCATCCATGTAGCACACTGGTGCTCAAGATTGAAGTTACTTGTCACTTGTCGCCCCTGTTGGTAACCTGATGCTATGCTTGCTTTTTGCCTCCACCTGAACCAGCACCAGAATCTGTAGAACAGGCTTTTCCAGAAGAAGCTGCCCCATGAGCTGACTTAGATTCTTAGATACTGCAGCACCCAAGGCAAAGGCCAAAGCCAAGGTGAAAGCAAAATCTAAAGTCAAGGCAAAGGCAGCAGGTAAAGCCAAGGCTGCTGCCAGCAAAGCTCCTGGGGTTACTTCTTCGCCAATGAAAGCTCAAAAGGCAAAAGCCAAGAGCACAATGAAGAAAATCCTGAAAAGACCTGATGCAGCTGAAGGCGAAAGCCAAGGCCAAAGCGAAGACTGTAAAGGCGATGGCAGCAAGATGGAAGAAGACCAGGGATGAGCCAGTTCCTGATGACCATGCAGAAGGAGAAGATGAGGAGCCTAAAGAGGAGGATGCAACAGTTGCTGATGATGAGCATCGAAGCTACCCCAAGGTAAGGAAATGTGCCAGAATGATCAAAAGTGGTCAGGTGCCAGCAGATCTTCAGCAGCTCTATGAAGAGGGCTCCAAGAATTCTCCTCCCCCAAGGTTATTTAAGAGTCAATTCATCAACAAAGTCTTTCAGCAGAACACCAGTGGCGAGTTTGCTTTTGCTCCTGGAAATACCCAGTGCGAGGTTTTCAAGAAGAACTTTGAGATTTGCACCAACAAATCTCAGGTTACTGGGTTGCCTCACTCCATCATGCCGTGGAAAAAATCCAGTGAAACCAGCAAGCTTTGAATGAGCAGAAAGACGAGGTGATGTCTATCAGAAAGATGGTTACTATCATGTCAGGACAATAGCCACAGCCATTGAGAAGAAGCAGGGCAGTTCCATGGTCTTGCATGGTGGCCAAGCCAACATCACCAAGGATGAGTTATTCGCAGATGAGTCAATTCATGTCGAGCAGGCCCTGGAGCCAGCTTGGCACTGGAGCTAGTTGTGGTGGTAGTGGTAGTGGTAGTTGTGGTAGTGGTAGCAGTGCTTCCTCTACACCAGCTGTGGTTACTTCATCCTCAGCATTGCCAAAAGCGATTTGTGATGCTCCTGTGAAACTGAGCAGGGCAAGTGCTCCCAGGAGCGACTGGGCAGAGATTGTCAAAGACCGGCTGTCAAAATCTTTTTTTTGGACAAGAAAGACCAAAAACTCAATTATACTTTGATGGATGTCCTCACCGAGCTTTCAAAGACAGAATGTATGCTTGGGGTTACTTCATTGTAGCTTTGATGTTGTATAACATATCTTCAAAACATCCAATCAGATTTGATCTTCACAAATAAAACCTTTGATTTGCTCAAACAAGTATAAGTTCAAACAATATAGTTTTTTGCACTTCCAGTAATCATGTAGGACTGACTTCACACAAAATCAAGAAACATATTGTTAAAATACCTTTCAAGCAATTGATAATGTTCACTTTACTATGGTACAATGTTAAGAAAATGTCGAAATTCATTATCTTTTTTTCCATGCAAAAAAATGCAAAATTTCAAGGTAAATTTTGAAGGTATTTTTTAAACCCCAAAAATTACCTTGAAATGGACCCTTAAAAATTAACTATGTAGTTTTAAAAAAAATAACTATTTTTGTTTCCTTAAAAATAAACTATTAGTTAGAAAATTGCCTCCAAAATCACTTTTACCTATTTTGCTCCAAATAACCTTGCCTGACCTATAGGGCACTGCAGCGAAAATGGTGGTGGCCATTTTTTAGCGCATAACTCTCATGTTTCCAACTCTACATTGCGTTCAGGGGCATTCACGCTCCACGTTCTTTGTCACAGAAAATGCAACCAAATGAGAACAAAGAGCAGCCCTTCCAGGAACACGGAAAGAAACTATCCATGAACAGCTTTTCGCTTACACCCAATGTCTGCACAGAGTGTTTGTTGAGTGTTTGAGGGTAAAACATATGAACGCCTCAAATGTTGGAACCAAATGTTGGACCATCTCAGCCAGCTGTTAGTTAACCGTCCCCAAGATAAATCCACATGGCAAGAGTAGTTCATCTTATAGGGATTCTATTCCAATGGTGAATCGCTACCTGACCATTGTTGACCATCAAGAACCATGCGTTTTTTGTTGTCCATTTTATTGGTTTCCATGATTATTAACCACTACTGTATGAACCGTTTTTAACCATGATTGACCATCATGAACCATTCGTAGTTTCGTAGTTTTTCCGAAATGTTCCCGCTTTCAGACAGATCTCCAAAGGGTACTTTCGCCTGCCCTGTGATCTCGCCGATCTCTCGGGGGAGAAAATATTCTTCCAGCTCACCAAAGCCTGGCGGTGATCACCATCATCCCAAGCACTGCCACTGCGCATTATCAATCCCTATGAAAATATATGAAAATGAATGACCATCCCCATCCCGATCCATCTGCCTGTGCATATAAGAGCCCCTACGAAAACGATCTATGATGAAGAATGACCCCGATTCAATGGATAGTTTACTCAAGTGTTTACCATGGCTCGGATCCGAGATGATCCAAGTACCGAATATGCTTGGACATACTGTGGATGGTTGCGAAATCCTGCACCAGTTGGCAACCGTTAGGTAACTATGAAACATTCTAAATATGATTGGATTAAAAGGGATAAACCATAAACCAACTGGTGCAGGATTTTGCAACCATCCACCGTATCACTTCGGCTTCAGAAGCCTCTCAGGTTCTTCTGGATCCATGGGGCCCTGCCAGTTCTTCTTTCGTTACGACATGATGCAGCCTCCATTGACTCCCATTGGGGTGAAATCATGTGAAATCCCGCATGCTCCTGGCAGCCAGGACCATCATGACAATCCCCTATGGCCGCTGTGGCATATCTATGGATTTTTGGTCTGTGACTCTACCATGGTTTCTACCACATTTTCCTATCACAAACGAGGACAAAAAACACATCCGCCCGCCAGGAGCTCGCGCCCTGTTTGCTGGGATCGATGTACCAGGGTGTGAACCAGCGCATCTCACGGTAGTTGCCGTCGTTCGCCAGGTAGATCTTGGGTCGGATGCCCACAATTTTGCCTCAGCATTTTGGGGGGAAAATATGGAGCTGGTTGGTGGTGCAATAACCATCTTGAAAAATATGAAAGTCAATGGGAAGGATGACAACCCATATATGAAATGGAAAATACGAACATGTTTGAAACCACCAACCAGGGAGTGGCATTTCTGCTGTGAGAAAGTTCACAACATGTCACAACCAACATGGGAATATCCCCCACCAAAAAGGGTCGTCCCCAACTCATGGATTTTGACAATCCCACATAGTCATTATTAGTGAGTAACTCCCGAACAAATCAATGCAGGTCATATCCCCATAAGACTTCTGGTTGAAACTAGCCAACTAACCATGTAAAAGCTTTATTAACTTATAAACCATGGTTAAATCCGATTTCAAACAGAACATAAAATACAATGTATTTATATAATACATAAACGTCGTTTTTGCCGTTGCCCTGGCTGCCCTGCTCCGCATGTTTTCGAAACACCACGCCACGGTTCACCGCCCAAACGCGGCAGTTGTACGGCACATTCCGGTGCATCACCTCGCGACGGTGACCGACAGTTTTGCGAATCTCCACTGTGCTTTGTGTATTGACACCATTCTTTAATAGAGTTTACTTGAGTTTACATACACGTTAAAGTTTAATTGACACTCTACATTGTGAATTGACAATATTGACATTCTACATTGTGTCTTTGATGAGTTTAAGAATGTTTAGAATTGTTTCAAACTGAGACGTGATGTGAAATGACATATACATGATGATATATATACATGATTACATCATATATGTTAAACTTATGTAAACAAAGGATCGTGAGTTCTGGAATTGATTTGCCAGGGCTTCGCAGAGGATTTGCCCTACGGGATGTCAATCGTTCAAACTACCCTCTGGTAATTTAACATAGCTATTGAAACCATTTGTAGTTGATTTACCCATTAAAAATGGTGATTGTCCATAGCTATGTTAGTTTACCAGAGGGTACATCTTGTTGATCCTCTGCTTTGAAGACCTGGGGCCATAGGTCCAGGGGCTCTGATACCATCGAAATGCTGGCTGTGCGGGACCCATCTTGATCATCTTCCATGTTATGATCCCGTGGGTCATCACTAAACTGGTTGGTGGTTGACCTACCCTCTGAAAAATATGAAAGTCAGTTGGGAAGGATTATCCCATATATTATGGAAAATGAAAAATGTTTGAAACCACCAACCAGTAAATGAGTTCCCAACAGCTTTCCACTTCAGAACTGCGTTCATGCTCTCCCCATCTCAACAGCTGAAGGCGGGTGGCCCAGCTCAATCAGCCTGCCATCTGCCAAGGAACTGGCATGCCAATGTCACACAGAATGCCATCAGTGACGTCACTTCTGAGAATATCTGCCATAGAGGACCAGGCATGCCTTGGGGCTTGGAAGGCTTCATGGCAAATCTTAGGCACCAGCGAAAAAATGATTAAACATGCAATTTTTAGTTCACAGTCCTCAGTTTATAGCTGGTGGGGTAGCATACAATCAATTACTGACCTGAACCCAGACTTCAAGGAAAGTCTTGATATTGAAATCATGAAAAAGCAAAGAAAATAAAGAACAAAAATATATATATATTCTTTCTACAGGATGTGGCGATCTTCCACCAATCAAGGAGAGGCCACATGTTCCCCTATCTCATCTTCAAAGCCGAGTGAGTCTGATTGATTTCAAGCACTATGAAGCACCGGAACTTCAAATATACACAAAAATAAACACATGTGCTACATGCACCCAAGATGTTGATTTCACACTTCCAAAATGTGGTTGCACTCCATCATCCGCAGCTGCCGGGGAGCAGGAAGGTGTCATTCTCCAGGAACCAGTCCTGCACGACACCGGGGGGGTGGAACGCTCCGATGTTGACTCCCCTCATAACGAAGCTCTAAAATGAGGAGATCCAATAATAGACCATACTAAACCAAGGTTTCCTTTGGGGGATATCTGATATTAAAAGAAATTCATGAGTTAAGCCAGCTTTGCCCCAAAGAAGGTTTCAAGGTTCCAACGGTACAAACATGAAGTACTGGAGCTGGGACAGGAACGTCAAGTTGGGTATGAATCATAAGCCGAATTACCACATAGATATAAATGTGGGTTTCCTAAACTGGGGGTACTCCTCAATCATCCATTTTAAGATGAGTTTCTATTGTAAACCATGCATCCATTTGGTGTACCCCCATTGATGGAAACTTCCATATATAAATCGATGGCACCTCTCGGATTTCACACTGTTGCAGAGTCGCCCCCTTCTTCCTCGCAGGTGTAGCCTGTAATTTCCAGTTCCTTGAGACACGTGGGAGGTGCTATGAGGTGCTGCAGTAGAAGCAATGGACAACACCAATGCTTTAGATTGCAGGGAAATTTTCTGATGTGGGTAAAACAATGTCATAAACCACCCATGACTGGGAATGGTTAGTTTATACCACCTAGAAAAATGGTGATGACCGGGGGATGCTTTATGGCATTGTTTTACTGACAGGTCAATGGAAATCATCTATCTGTAGGATGAGAAGCAGCAACCAGGTCAGGTATTTATGTTTGATTCCACCAATCACTTCTCTGCAAACATTATATGTGCATATTAGTATTACATATAATCATATGTGTTCATATGTCATGTATAGTTTATTGGCATGTAATAGGTAAGCAATTGATCTATTGGTTGTGTGCGGTATTGCATCCCATGCTTGGATTAACGTCTTCCAGCCCAATGAACGTGGTTGAACGCGTCATCAGACCGCGTCAGCCAAGAATCAGGGCCCGTTCGGAAGCTGCAACCTTGGGCTTTTGCCTCCTGCAGTGAATTGGTAGCTGCATCAGCCCGGCTCGTGGTGAAGCTACTAAAAATGATGAAAAATGAGACTATTCTCTGGATGGAATAGAAAACATAAGCATGCTTTAAAACTGTTGAAAGCACTTCCCATCTTTTTTGCCATGTTGGCAAAGTTTTCCAACTGCCAGCACGCAATGTCTCTATAGTCAATGTCTAGTCAATGGCACCATCGTCTCTTTTTTTTGTTCTATTGCTAATCGATGGACAAGTTATCTGATCACTTGGTGAGATCCTTGGAGTATGAAAAAACACCTGCTGTCAACCTTTCTCCGCGACGGAGATTGTATCCATTTCTGATAGATCTATGAGAACATTGACCAAGACAACTCTGATAAGCACTCATTCACATGGCTAGCTTGGATACTCCACCAAAAAAAATCTAGGTCACTAGGTTTAACCGGCTCAAAACCTCACACATCAATCCACCATTCACCATTCACTCAGCTTTACCCACACTGAGGCATGGGATGATAGGCACTGAGAACCCTCCTTGATAGACTCTTTGATCCGCTGGAGATTGCCCTTGAAGTCCTAGGCGTCACATCCCGCTCCGAGAAGCATGGCATGCCCCTGTGATCAAAGCTGGGAATGAAAGATCCCTCTGCTTCACAAACAAGCCATCAACCCCAGGGTAAACTAACATAGATGTAAAATATCAACCATTTGTATCCATTTGTAGACTATTTTTTCCCGGGAAAAAAAACTTGCCTGTGCAACTAGTTGGGAATTTTCGGGAATGCTCCACTGGCTAACTATCAAGAAAATAATCCCAGCAACCCCCAGCAACCCATCCATTCCCTACTAAGCACCAGTAAGAAAAACATAGGTGCACGTGGCAGGTTGGGAAAGGCGATTTCTGATGGAATCTGATGGTATACATGAACCCGATCTGCCTGGCTTCATTGGAGGAAACAAGGTCTAAACAACCTTTAAATATAGCTACGTATATATGCATACGTATCTATATATAATATGTGTGTGTACATAGTATGTGTGTACATAATAATTAAATATATATATATATATACATTGATTTATGTAAACTCATTTATGTGCATGTATAAATATATATATATACATAAATACACACTCCGGTAATCTAACGTAGCTATGGAACATAACAATTTCAAACTGGTAGATCAGCTACTTTCATAGCAAACTGTCAGGACTGTTCTGCATTTTAAGAGATGACATGGGTATAACCATGGTATAGCAACTATTTTAGGAAGTCAAACATCACCATAGCTTATCATAGCATTGCCAATCTTAGATTTACCCAACAACAAAGAATGAAAATAGTTGGCTGGTGAGTAGATATTCCGAAATTGAAATCGCAACAGATTTAGAGGATTAAACTACCCATCCAATGTTGACCTACCCTCTGGTAAACTAACATAACTATGGAAAATCACCATTTTTAATTGGAAAATCCACTATAAATGGACATTTTCAATAGCTATGTTAAATTACCAGAGGGTATCTTTTTCCGTTTATATATTCAGTTTTCGACATCCAAGTCATCTTGGGGCCGCATCCGTCAAGTCACCATGGCCCATTGGTTCAGATTGCAGCTGGCCACCTTTACCTCGAAGCCCATGACTCAATGACAAGGCCATTGGAAGCTTCTCAGTTCTGTCTACATATCAATAACATACATGAATATAATGTGCATATATATATATATATATATATATACTTATATAATCTTATGTATACATACACGCAGCACACGCATGTGTATAAATACATAATATAGACCTATAGATCTATAATGATCTATATAAGTATGTACTGTATGTTCATGTTTGGTTTGTGGGGAAATCTGAAGAAACATATGATGCTGGGAGAGATTTCCTTCATGGAATAATCAGAGAATCCATTGGTGAAGATATGAAGAGAGTACAACATATTCATTCCGATATATACATATGTCGCATACTTACTGCAAGAACAAAATTGTTATGTGATTTGATTTGGGTATTTAGGCAGTTTCAAACATTCGCCATCGCAAAGCAGTGGGATTTTTCAATAGTCACATGTTCAATCAATTGTATAATATAGCATTATCTGGAAAAACAATAATTCACTAACCTGAATCTTGCGGCCATTTGGGGATGATTTCCTTCAAATAAACCATGATTCCAGGGTTCGGTCACGACGTGAGGTCGTTACAATTTACCCAGCATTATGTACCCTCTCGTAAACTGTCACATAACTATGGAAAATCACCATTTTTAATGGGTAAATCAACGACTATTTCTATGGTCATTTTCAATAGCTATGTTAGTCATTACCAGAGGGTATCCACAAAGGTTGTGTAATATGGATAAAAATATGGAAGCTATGGAAGCCATGGTCCATGATGATTTACCATGATTTACCTGTTGAAGCCGTTAGGATTTTTCATAAAATGGGCAACCATTGGGTAATCATAGGGTGCTGGATCCATAGTACTTGGATGCAGGGATCAATGATCATCCCTGGATCCCTGGATCCCTTCCGAGTACAGCTACTTCCGAGGTACTTCTGATTCACCTTCTATATCATACAGTATCAATCATGGTCACTCATTATTACCCTCTGGTAATTTAACATAGCCATTGAAAATGGCCCATTTATAGTTGATTTTCCATAAAACAATGGTGATTTTCCATAGTTATGTTAGTTTACCAGAGGGTATCCGGACTGGATGTGGTTGGGAAACTCCTGGATGGGCAACCGTTGAGGGTACCGGGAAAGAAAGTGCCATCCACGGGACACCGGGGACACCACAAATCCCAGGTGTAAGAAGAAAGTGGACCCCAGAAATCCCACAACGAATGCTGCCATCAGCTTGCAACCAGCTGCGAAAATTAGATGTATATATATATATATGTATGTATATATAGTAAATATATATATATATAGTGTATAGTGTATATATATATATAATGTACATAGTGTATATATATATATACACACACCTATCTTGGCTGGTATATCATATAATGTTGGGTCCTGATTAGTACCTAGGGTCGCTATTGTGGCATTTTTTCCAAATTATTCTGAAACTCATGTATTGTTTGGAGGGTTCGCTTTTGTGGCAAAACAAAATTGGGAGAGCCCTGTTTTTTTGCAAAAAAAACTGTAATTGCTGAGAGGCATTCTTTTCCCAAAAACGCTGTAGCTCAGTCAAGGTAGGTTTGTTTGCTGGGTTCACTATTGCAGCAAGCTGTGCCAGAGCAGCTCCTGGAAGCCCAGAAGGGAAGCAAGCCTTTGCCAAAATTGCCAAATTCAAACTCCAAGCCTTTCCCAAAAGAACCAATCCCTTATTAAACCCTTATTAAAGAACAGCTTTTCCACAATTTTCCAAGGCCCTGGACCAGGAGAGGCTCCATTTCACTTTAGTAGGTTTGTTTGCTCGGTTCACTATTGCAGCAAGCTGTGCCAGAGCAGCCCCTGGAAGCCCAGAAGGGAAGCAAGCCTTTTCCAAAATTGCCAAATTCAAACCCCAAGCCTTTCCCAAAAGAACCAATCCCTTATTAAACCCTT